TTTTTTTTTTTTGCTTCAGAATTTTGTTAATATTGGTTTTACATAGCATCATCTGTTGTAAAGTATTTGGGTTCCAGTATCTTTTGTTACTTTATTTTATTATTCATTTATTTCAATGTGTGCTGTTCATATTTGAAAACGATATTTCTATTTACCTGTGTTAAGATAGGAAAAGATAAGAAAACCTTTATTTGTCTCACAATGGGGAAATTAGCATTAGTTAATACATTAAACAAAAAATAAAAAATTGCTGCAAAATTTTATTTTCTTTACTAATCGATTATCGCTGCCACTTACTTTTATATTTCGTTGACAGTAGGTTTCTGACATGTTATTGGTTACATATTTTCATTCATACTCTATGAACTAAATAAATTTTGAAAATATTTTTCATCTTTCGTAATCGATTAACAACATCAGTTACTTTTCTAGTATTTTGTTGACAGTATATACTGTTCCTTATATTTTATTAGTTATATAATTGAATTCATAGTGGATATATTTAACATATTACTATTTGTTTAAAATATTTTAGGAATCATTTTTATCTTTAGTACAGTCATATAGTCATTGTTTTCAAGTTGACTTTATTATGCGTATATACGGCGTACACATTTTTTTTTATCATCAATACATATTTTGCTGAACAATTATTGGATTTCTGTGTCACAATTTGTCCTGAAACATTATGAACGTTATTCCTTTGTCCACACGAATTCTCTCTGTCAAGTGTTTATTGACACTTTCAACAGTGTTGAGAAGCCAATGAAGTCTTAAGTATTTGCTGTTGGGAGTACAAATAAATCTCAAACAAACAAAGACGACAAGTCACACCATTCAGCTCGGCTATCGATTAAAAAACACCCCCCAAAAAACTGCTCAGCATGGGACTCTTCCGCTGCCGGTACCACCGTACAATTCCGCCATTTGTTCACGCTGACTGATCTGGGAGGAGCCGCGCGTTTCCTCCATTAATCATATCGACCGCCGCTTGGCGGCATCGATTCTGCTTGGCTCTGTGTTTACAGGCTGCATGGGTGAGGCCGCCTGGTGGGTGGTCAGGCCTTCTAATGGTGAGGACAGTTGGAGAGTCTGGTTTGTTGTCACACATGTGCAATCTGGAGTTAGGTGTGAAAGTGGACCTCGGGTGGGTGTGAAGATGTAGGGCTGTGGATTCATTTTGTTTGGACAGGAGAAGGTGTCGGACCACCAACCACATTGTATCCAAACCTTTATTGGACAAAGGGACGCATTCATTGTTGAAGTCATGCATCTTGACTATGAGATTAACATTTTAGTACAGTATGTCTGGGAGGAGCCAAGTTTAGCCAGGATCGTTAGTGGAATTTATGGAGAGTCTTTGTCGCACGCATGTGCACTTCCATTTCATTCTCACTAGCTATCTTTCAATCAAACTACCCCCCCCCAACATTGGTTATTTGGCAGTGACCGGCAACTCATGACCTATTTTGCTGTGAATCGCACAAGAACTACAAGTACAAATTCTGCACTGATTAAAATGTGCCAGCTTGTGGCGCAGTCGCCGCGGAAGTACTGCTTTATTCCTTCCTGTTCAAATCCCCACACTGTACTTTTTTAAAATTTTTATTTATTTATGTACTCATTTATTTAATTATTCTCACAATTTCTTGCAGCCAGTCAGTCGGGAGTTGTAAACAAGCCATTTTGTTTCACATATTTAATGAAGAATTCAACTGTTATGCAGTGTAACAATTTCAATGTAGCTTGTAAAACATAAATAATTAGCAAAATGATTATGTGCCGACAAAAATAAAAGGTTATGGGAAGGATAAGTAAAGGTTCATAATAAAAAGAGTGATAAGATTATCGTAAAAAAAAAAAAAAAAAAGAGGTTGGGTTAGAATTAAGAAAAGTTCAAGAGTTTAACCTATGAAACAAATGTAACTAAGTTCAGGTATGATTCGGAAACACTAAGTTACTGGACAGATATTGCCATAATGACCACAGCTGGAACTGAGAGAGAGTAGAACCGTAACATGGCAGTCGACACATTATGATAAAATTAACAAATCATAAAATAGCCGATTCGCAGCAAGGCCAGAATTCCTCACTCCGCGATTGACCAATCAGACCCGTTCACAGCAAAATAACGCCAGCAGGAGCTTTGCCCATCATGCAAAATAACCTCCGTCCCTTTTCATAATCCACAGTACAGCATTAAAGAAACTACATGGAAATTCTGCAATCTGACAGTTGTGTTTGAACTATTTTGAAGCCGTTATCCCTGATATGGTGAGCTCAACATAAGAATAGCTATTTTGACCATCAGCCACAATCACTGGGGTTGCTGTTATGAAAGAACAGCCCCCCAAGTTGAGAAGGGCAAATGCCATTAGGACCATCGTCAGACATTTTACATTCGATATTGTACAATTCAAGAACCGTAGGATTCTTGACCAACACTATTTCTTATTACGGTGATCAACAAAAATGACAATGTTAAACTCTCGTGTCAGCCACGTTAAATTTATTATTATTGTTCATGGTGTAAGAGCAATACACAGTAGATGCTATAGAGGGGAAAAAGCCTCCAAACGTTTTAAAAATAATTATTAAATATAACACCGAGAAAACTAGTTGTAGGAATAGAATAAAAACACATTTTATACCTCAAATAAATCTCGTACATCCTTTAATCAGACTAAAAGTTTTAAAATTTTAAAAACATATTTCAACACCCAAAACTGACGTCTAACAAAAATTTGTGCAGACAAAACAGCATGTGGGGTCTGGCTACGGAAGCGCAGGGAGTCAAAAAGGCTCCATGAGGGTTAAAAACGTCCTCCTCCGTGTTAAAGATAGAACCGAACAGCCAGCATGGAGGCAGGCAGGTTACTTTGTGTCATCTGCTGATTCCCCCGAGGCCTGACAAAGCCCTTCGTCTTTCATTTGATCACTGCACCACGCACCTTCTCGAATGAAAACGGGTGTGGGGAGGAGGGTTATCTTATTCACCGTTTCAGGTCAGTCTGATAATACCAATATAAATTTTAATTGAACGTCACCAAAATGCCTTCCCCCAAAAATAACACAGGAATGACCAGACATGTTTAAGCGCCAACAAAACCATAGAAGAGGAATGTTGACATACCTCAACACGGTAATAAGTGCATATAAAACCACAAAAATGTTGTCACACCCGTATCCACAGTACACTAATATGTCGCTGGAAAACCATACAAGAAGCTACGCGAAAACGTACCTCGATGTATCCGGCCAACGATGGCACCACAACGGCCAAAACCAGAGCTAATATCACCGGGACGCAACCCATCTTCCACGAGTGGGAAATAACTCCTTCACAGAGCTGTCCGGCGTCAAGAAGGCACACTTATAAAGTCCCAGGGCACTTCACGACGACAGCCGCTTTTCGTCACTCGACGAGCGGGACTGAGTCCTGCTCCTGCTTATTTACACGGTCGCAGAAAAAAACGCAGAGAGGGCATAGAGTCACGGAGTGGCTCCGACGTAGAAATGTGGGCAGAGATTATTGGGAAGACTGCTCCGTGTATGGTGCCTCCTCCCTCATCTCTCCTCTCTCACTCTCTGCTGTGGCTCCTCCATTCGTACGTACTGTGGGCTGCACGCATTGCGCCCTCTGGTGGCAATCAAGGGAAACTCCAAGCTGTTCACCAAGTCTGTACTATTTTTTTTAATCAGATTTGATTCTGAATCTGCCCTCATTTGTTTTCTCGAGAACATTAGGTTTGTATAAACACAATAATTTTACACGCATTGCGCCCCCTGGTGGCAATCAAGGGAAACTCCAAGCTGTTCACCAAGTCCGTACTATTTTTTTTAATCAGAGATTGATTCTGAATCTGCCCTAAATTGTTTTCTCTCGAACATTATGGTTTGTATAAACACAATAATTTTATAATAATACACACCAAGGTCGGGTTTAGGTTTGCTGGCAGTCGCCCAAATGCAAACTCGCGTGGGAACAATAGCAGCTGGGGTGAGGGAAAATAAGCAATCAAACAAGCCAAATCGATAAAGGAGGTCTCTCTCCAATGACTTCAACGTGAACTTTCCATAGTGCATAATTACGTGGACAACGTTTCCTTCAACGTCACATCTCTCTCTTTCATTTATACCCCTGAAATAATGTGATTCGGTTTTTGGTTTCTGTAGAAAAGACCAAGTCATTTATTTTAGGAGGATGACAATATCAGATCAAATCTCTCCATAAAAAGTTTACAATCTGAGATTTTATTGTTATCTCAAAATCAGGTGTCTATCTATCATAAAGAACAGGGTTGAGTAACAGTGAGCTCCCCACCAACAATAATTTGAGAGTTTAGGAATTTAGACAAACAGTGCTACAGTTTAACGATGTCAGAAAATAAGGTGTTCTTGATTAACATTGCATGCATACGAATATGGACATTTTAAATAAAATGTCCATCTGAATCTATGTGCGTAATGTGTCAGTTGTAAAATTGTTTTGGATAGGCAAAACACCACCTGATCTTTCTGTACCATGTGTAGACCGCAAATCGTTTTCCCCATTGACTCCTACAAAACTTCACATCGTTTGGAATTGAATGAGATGCCCACTACAAACAAAAAAACAAACAAACACATAAATAAATTTATGTCGTTTAACAAATTAGAATGAAGCTTTGCATATTGGGGAAACTAGAGTACATAGTACATATAGTACAGTATATCATTAAAACGAGGTGAGGCGGCCCAGTTGCGGGCAAGTGGTTAGCGCGTCGGCCTCACAGCGCAGAGGTATCGGGTTCAATTCCAGCTCCGGCCTTCCTGTGTGGAGTTTGCATGTTTTCCCCGTGCCTGCGTGGGTTTTCTCCGGGTACTCCGGTTTCCTCCCACATTTCAAAAACATGCATGGCAGGCTGATTGAAAACTCTAAATAGTCCCTAGGTGTGAGTGTGAATGCGGATGGTTGTTCGTCTCTGCGAGCCCTGCGATTGGCTGGCAACTGGTTCAGGGTGTCCCCCACGTACTGCCCGAAGACAGCTGGGATAGGCTCCAGCACCCCCCACGACCCTTGTGAGGATAAAGCGGATCAGAAAATGGATGGATGGATGGATGGATAAAACGAGGTGAAAAAACGGAGAAAATGTGACAAGGTAATGAAGATGACGTCTCACTGACCATTGATTGCACTCCAGCAAGTCAACATATAAATTCGGCGTCCGGTAATAGAAAAGCAGTCTTAAAAGCAAATCCAACACATTCTGAAGTCAGTCCAGTATATTTTCGAGAGAAGGGGCCATGTGTGAGCTATTTTCACCGCGCCCTCCAGTTTGAAGTATGATTCGACTCTACCACATACAATATGGCGGCAAGAACGCCATAAGCTTTCGTGAACAAGGCGGAATCTTTATATGCTTCTCGTCCAGGCCACCAATGCGAGTAAATACACTGCAATCCCCAACTCCTTCACCAGAGGGTAGTGTAGTTGGTTAGTCTCAGAATAATTTCTGGAGATTTTGGTGATATTTTAAATTTCTTACAATTAAAAAAAGTAAATATGAGTACAGTATTTGATCTTGCTGAGGCGCACCTGTACTCATCAATACATAGCATTCCCTGAAATGTTCACCAGAGGGTAATACTAGTCTGTACTTCGTAATATTTGGTTTGGACCAATCGCGAGCGATCACAGATCCAGGCCTGCTCCTATTGGCTATGGCCATACCCCTCAACTCACCCGTTCACCCTCCTTCTCCAAATCGATACTTAAAAGATGACTGTGATATTTGCCTAGTTTTACAATAGTTAAGTTCACCATCACAACCACCTCGCGAGGCAACCAACATACATTGAATGAATGTGAGAATCGCGGGGAGAAGGAGGCTGAACGGGTGGGTTGATCTGTTTGGGCCGATGCTGTTCGTTGAGGTTCAGCAAACATGACATTAACAGGGTAAAGTAAACTGTAAATTGTAATTGCCCATTATTTTGGAAATACAGGTATACAATATATGTCACGTTGACAGGTGAGTGAGGCTCCACGTGATGAAATGAGGATGGAGCAGAGGCAGAGAGCATTTTTTGGGGTTTACATTTTTGGGTCACTGCAAGTGAATAATTTTAATTCGACATAAATGTTATTAATACGAGTCAGACTCAAACAGACATTGATTATAATTTTTTTTTTTTAAAGTAGGCTTCAACCAAGCATCTTTTTTCAGAAGCAGAGCCTGACCAGATCATGTTCTTGTTACATCATAACAAAAATGTCAGGTTGCCTGTAGCAGTTCAGTAATTTTCTTAATACAACACAGTATAATTTTGCATACATCTGGGTAAAAACAACAACAACAACAACCACCACCGCCACCACATGAGCAGTGTTATCCTCACTCATCAGCTGTCCAAGGGTTTTATTGCTCCCTGTGTTTTTTTTTTTGTTGTTTGGGAGATGGTCCAAAATGGCTTTTTAAGTCTTTTCGGTTGCCGCCTGCTGGTCGCTACAGTCATGAGAGCTCTGTGGAAACTTGAGGAGTCACAGATTGACATTAATATTAAACCACACTTTTCAGAGCTCAATCAGCAGACAAATTGATAATAGGGGAGAAATTGAATACAGTACAGTACTCATAAGAGTACAGCATAGTCAGAGAGATTGCAATCCTCCATCACAGGAAGTATCCAAGCCTTCTTGACTGTCAGTCTCCTGGGAGTTGTCTACGCGCTGGCCTGGGCTACCTCACCAGTCTGCCTCCTCTGGTTGTACGCATTGTACACATCCAGAAACATGTCCTTGCACGGTATGCATGCTTTCAGTTTGGAGCAGATGAGGAAGGAGCCGGCCATCTTGCGGTGGAGGGAGTAGGTCTCCTCTGGTGGAGGAGTGAGACGGTGTCGCAACATGACGGGGACGAGGTTCTGGATACGCTGGGTGGTGCTCTGGGTGCCAAAGTCAAAGGGCTCAGACGATGCAAAAGCTTCACCAAGAATCATTACAGCCTCCACATGAGCATCATTGAAGGTCTGAGGACAAATGAATCCATAACAAGAATCTTTAGCAAAAAAGTGTGCACAGCAAATAGAGAATTGGATGGGGAAATATGAGATATGACAGCCACAGCAAGCAGAGGAAAAATAGAGATGGGTGGAGTTCAAACAATATGAAAAATAAATGAGCACAATACAGGAAATTATTTGATCTTACCTTGGTCTCGAAACCTGTCAGGAACTTAAGGTCTTTTGATTTAGAGAGAACAGTGGCTCGATCACCGACAGAAGCTGCATGCACTACCTGTATACAATGGACAGACAAAGATACACCCAATTTTAAACACAAATCCGTTTTAAAAAAGAAACCCCCTATTAGATATTTTAGATCAGGGATGGGCAACTGGTTGGCCTGCGGGCCGCATACACCTACACTTGGAGCAGACCTCCATTTGATTTTTTTGAATATGACTAAAATGCTTCTCTAACACTGCACTTCTGAGTTGAAATGAGGCTGTTCATCACTGGATATAAATTGTGGCATCATTGAAGGCAGGGGTGTCAAACTCATTTCACATTGTGGGCCACATTCGGACTCGGTACATGTCAAGTGGGCCGGACCATTAACATTATACCATACTCTGCTATAAATAACCAAAATATCATGTCTTTCCTTTGTTTTGGTATAAAGAAGCATTGGCGCATTGATATCGTCTGCAGTAATGGGTCTGTCTCAGTGACAGACTGAGACTGCTGTTTTCTTCTCTCATCAAAACAATGTTGTCTTCTACTCTGATCAAAACAGTGTGCCCCCTAGCGGATAATCAATTAATTGCATTTTATTAAAAATATTCATTCCGTGTCTTTAATGCATTTTTTTTTCACTTTTAAATTATCCCGTGGGCCTGATCGAACCTCCTTGGGGGCCAGTTCAGGCCCGCGAGCCGCATAATTGACACCACTGATTGAAGGTGTCCATCCCTGTTTTAATCTTACCTCTATGTAGTCATTTGTAAATGATTCCGGGTAACTTCTGCACGCTCCAAAATCCAACAGAACTACCTGAAGAAATTTTGATTTGCAAACGTTGACTGACTTTCATCCAAATCAGCATTTAACTGTGGAATATGCCAGGTTTCTTACCTTGTTTGTTTCTGAATTGTAAAAGAAGTTGGCCCAGTTTGGGTCTGTCTGCATGAACCTGAACTCAAAAAGCTCCCTGAGACACAACTGGAGGATGTTGAAGCAGATCTGAAAAGTTTCAAATGAGGTATGGGAGTTGATTAATGATTAATATCATAAGAGTGATGTTGCTATTTGGTCCAATGCCGTCTAAAATTCTTATGAAATTAAAATAAAAGTATTTTTAAATATCTTAAAGTAAATGTGTCAGAATTGGAACAAAGACGAGGAATTTAAAAACTGTTTCGGCCCTGTGACATCGGCCCCCTTTATCGAAAACAGTTTAAATGAAGTAGACCTGGTTCCTGGTTTCTTGGTCCAAATCCACGCAGCGGTCCAGCGGAACCCCCTGCACCAGCTCCATTGCTAATACTCTCCGTGTTGACAGCTCATCGATAATCTCAGGAACCTGGAAAAACGCGTCTCCCTCCAGCAGTGATCTGGAGGCCGGAGATATAAATATAATCATGATGACAAAAAGAAGTCAAATCACCCTCAGAATAGCACAATCTAAACAATTCAACGCAATTCTTTTTCTACCTGCGGAATCTGATGTTTTACTGCCCCAGATGGGCAAGCGATAATTCAGTCAGGAAAAATTTATTCCATAGACTGGACCTTTACTCGGATTTGCACCAAAGTTTAATGAGACCATCCTTGCACTTGCACCACTGTGAGTGGTGAGCAGTAATTAAAAAAAAAAAAATCACTACTGATAAAACTTCCCAGCCGATGATGAGACTGTAAAATTGTGGCCTTTTGTTTAATGTGACACTCTAAATCTATTTTTTGTGCGTCGAGATAAAAAAGACTGGACCGAGGTTAAGTACAAACCTGGTCAACAAATGCAACGTCCTTATTTTTTTTTTTTTTAAACCTGAAAGACTTTTTAGGGGGTATTTGACTTATGGAGCACTTTTCTACCTTAAAGACACTAAAAGCGCTTTAACACTGTGACAACACTTCTCCAGTATCTCCTCATTCAACCTATAGATGACGTCGCATCAAGCGCAACGGGAGCTTTCAGCAATCCCGTAGACTGCTGTTCCCTCAAGCAGTAAATAACAGATATCTTGAACAAATTAAATGGCAATTGGAACATATTTGGGTTTCACACTCAATATTGTGGCATTCGAGGAGCTCATAACTTCAGCAAACCAAATCTAAACTCCAATACACAAACGTACCTAAATTTCTTGGCACACTCAGCCTCCCGGTCATAGTCGCACTCCCATGCCAGTTCTCGCTGAAGAACCTCCAAGCTGCTGTCTGCAAAGAGGCCTGGAAAAAGAATGAATCCATGCAAAACTAAGAATTCGAAAGCAAAGAAAAATTGTCAGGATTTTCTTCAAATGCAATAGCGTAGTTTCTGTAACTAAACAAACCATAAAACTCGATGAAAGATTTACATCTTAAGAACAAGCACTGTGGGGTGGGTTCAACAAAAGTAGCCGTATTGTTGAGTGTTTGAAAATGAACACCTGCCCAAAAATTACTCTTGAACAAGGATGCAACCGAAAGACCAGGAAATAGATAAGCAACAATCGCGCCACCCTGTGGTGTGAACTAAAAATGCCATGATGAAAAACAGTACAGTGGTACCTCTACTTACAAAATTAATTGCTTCTGGAAGAAATTTCTTAACTAGAAAATGTAAGTAGAGACGCGTTTTCCATGTAAATGCCCTATTCCGTTCCAAGCCCCCCCTAAATTCAGACATAAATGTTTTCTAAAGCATAAAAATGCATCAAAATATGTAACAAATACATGCTACAATTAGATTATTGCGCAATAAATGAGAGTTGTGCATAATGTAAAAAACAAAGAATAAAGAATAAAAATGATGGTCATTTAACTTTTAACTGCGTCCTCATCGTGTTTTGCCGTCTTTAGTTCATGTTCTCTCTCAGAAGTGGTTTTTGCCTGGCGTTTTGTAAAGAACTGATCCAAGGATGTTTGCTTTTGTCGGCTTTTAACAATCCTTCGAAATTGTCCATGGCAAACATCAGCATAGTGAGCGATCGCTCAACTGGTGAACACTTTTTTTGGGTGATTCACATTTACGTAAAACTATCGGAGCACCTCATTGCCTGAGGGGCGAATGACGAGGACGGTGCATAGACACAAATGTATCTATCTACACACATAGACACATACGGTAGAAGTCCCTCTTAGCCAATGGGATGCCAGGAAGATGCTCGGTAATAGCCAATGGCAGAGCAGCTATAAGTATGTTGCGTTCCGGAAACTCTGAGCTGCACGGAGCAGCCCATACTGTATTTTTACCTTTCGTATCTTGAAATTTCTTTCGTAACAAGAGGCAATATTTTCCTTTTGAGGCGTTTCGTAACTTGAAAATTTTGTTTCAAGAGACATTCGTAAGTAGAGGTACTACTGTAAAGTATGATGGTAGACAAGAGTTGTCCCATTCTGATCATGTGACCAGAAATCCAATCAGGTAATTTTCATCTGATCGGCGTTGGGCAAAAATCATCCTTTTTTTCTTCTTAAGTTTTAAAGGATTTTGAGTGACCAAATAAGTTTGAGGTGCAAAAATGTTGCAAAATGGCATGGTTTTATATCACACAATGTAACATTTTGGATTTGTGTGGTGGCTTATAATAGGGAAGAGGCAGAAAACCACATCCACACCAGTGCAAGGATTCCACAAAATGCTTCTTGTAACCAGCCATCACGTTGGGATGCCTTTATTAGAATAAATGAATAAAAATTTAAGGGAGTTGAGACAATTTGGTTGTGCACCGTTGTTTGCTTCTGAATGCATAGGTGAGATTATCAGATCAGGACTCGTTACATACATTACTAAAAAGTGCCTTTCGACATAAACTAGAGTCTTCTCGACCGTATGCAGTCCATAGGTAGTTTAATACAAACGTTAAAGTGTTATAAATTACGTCAAATGACTGAAGCACTGATCCAGTCAAAATAAACGAATAAATAAATCAATTAAATTTACATTTAAAACTGGAAAAACAGATGTTATTGTAGTTACAGATATAAATTGGGAATTTCTCCATTGTGAGACAAATAAAAGTTTTCTTATCTTACCTTCAGGTAGAACCACACTCAATTTCAGCACTGACATGAGGTTGTTTATGTCACTATGGATACTCTCTGCCACTCCGGGGTACTAAGAAGAAAACAAAAAAGAAGATCAATGCTAAGTCAGAGGATAATATTACATTTCCAACCTACCTGGATCTTCATTGCGATTTCTCTGCCATCTTTTAAAACCCCATGATGCACCTGTCCAATGGAAGCTGCGGCAAAGGGTTTGTCCTCAAAGGATGACAGCCTCTCTCTCCAACCCGGACCCAGCTCTTTCTCTAAAACATTCTACAAGTATGGTGCACATGGGGAAAAAATGTAGAAATCACATGGATAGAACATAAGGATACAAAGCCTTTGTTTGTTTAAAAAAAAAAAAAAAAAAAAAAAGCATTTCATGTCGTGAATATGGGTATTGTGTGTAGAATTTTGTAGAACTTTGGAATAAGGCTGTGAACATATATTGTGTGGAAGAAGTGAAGCACTGTGAATCATTTTCAGATGCACTGTATGCCTGTGCAACAAAAAAAATTAGCTGCAGTTGAAAATGTTGCAACATCCCTGCTTACATTCATTTGCCTCGTGGGCATGAAGTCTGCACTCTGCCGCACCCTCTCAAAGATCTTTTGAAGCTGGGGGTTGATGAAGGAATTGTCTGGGGAGGGGAAAAAATACAAAGCTTGTTCGAGACCGTAAAATATTTGAACATTCACCCGCACAAACGTAGGAAGGGCCACTACGCAGTGATTACAGGAGTGTGGCACTTACCTTGTATGCTTAGCATCTGTCCTATCTTAAGCGCAGCTCCGCGTACTTTGCACAGTGTGTTGACAATTCTCTCTGCATTGGCTTCTGACAGGAGGGGGGAATCTAACAAGGCATTCATGTCTACAAGAAGAGTGACGTGTGAGTACATGCAAAAACGAGGACAAGGAAAAATTAAACATCCAGGTTTAGAAGATTCAAGCCGTCTTCACTGGAGTTGGGAATCTCAGGCAGGAGGCCGATTCGATACGTCTCTCTATATACAGGCTGTGATTTGATTGGGAAAAAAAATTGATTTTTCAGGGCGGAATGGTTCAGCGATGTGATTCGATTGAGTTTGGGAGCAATACGGTGAGTTTCAATACGATAATTCAATTTGATATTCCTGATTTCTGTGATATTTGCATACAAAACTTCCAGTTCATCACATCCATTTTAATATCACACAGCAACTACCCAAGGAAATCTAAAATGCAGTTTCTAAATGCCAATTTCATTGAGTAAGGCACAAAAAAAAAAAAAATCCAAAAGTACCAGTCCTTATGGGAATAAGTAAAAAGGGGAGCCCCTTGGTACATCGCAAAGTAACTGTGACTAATGACAGGGAAAGCCGAGTTGTACTTCACAGGCAACACCCTAGCACACCATTTGTTGAATCGAGAAATCACACAAATAGAATCTGACAGACAAAGTGAAGTAGGCTACAAGAAACAAACGCATCATGCCACGATTCAAAGAAATTCACGAAAAAAATGAGGAAAAAAAAGTACCGGTACTTGAAATCCATCAGTCTGGAAAAGGTTATAAAGTCATTTCCATGATTCTGGGGCTTCAGAAAACCACTGTCAGAGCCATTCTCCACAAATGGATGAAAATGGGAACAGTGACGCGAATTCCCAGGAGTGGTTGACCAGCTAAAATTATTCCCAATTACACGACTCATCCAGGAGGTTGCGAAAGAAGAAAAAAAAAAGATTTGTGTGTCTGTGTGTGTTTTATTAACATGATATATTTTTGTGTTACTGTACACTGCACCCTAAGCATCTATCAGTTTCACTCTCATGAACAAAGAATTAAAAAAAAATCAAATATAGCATGACCTGCATCACTGGAAGTTGTTAGTACTCAGCAGTCTGCAATTGCAACATGAGATCAGAGCTGTCGCGATATTTTTTTATTTATTCTTCTATTTCAAAGTTTGTTTCGTCTGAGCCTCTCAATGTCCGCTCCACAACTGCACAATTATTGTATTTAAGGGTTTCTGGTGGATTTTGTATCGATTGAAGAGTCTGCTACCGATGCACTCGTATCTCTCTCTCCTTGATGAACAGATATCCGGTAGATTCGGTTTATCTTTCCATAACCTTGTCTCCAAGCATTTTACCTCTTGGCCACCCTAAAAGCCATTTTCAGAGAATGTTCGGACAGATGGAAATTACCTTTTTGTTTGCCTCCCAGTGACTGCTTCGCTACTTCTGCGAGGGCACCAATCCCCAGACCGATTGCCAGTCCTGTGGCAAAGACATGTTTCATGCGGGGCTTGCCAAATTTCAAAACTCCAATCGGATTATTCATACCTCCAAAATTAACCAGCCTGCTGATTCTTGTTGCAGGCACCTTCCTCTCTCGAGCACGGTCATTCAGCTAAATGAAGATAAACCACAATTTATTGTAAACATGGCATATTAATTATCCAGTCTCTACCCATCACACAATTACAGGGGTGCCCAACCTAATTTTGACCGAAGATCTAATTTTCAAGCAACCAACCTCCTGCGATCGAGCCAATAACGCATTTACACGCGTACAAGAGTTTGTGAGTTTATGAAAGGGAAATCACTTGAGTAGCGACCTGACGCGGAGGCATGGGACGCAATTGTGCAGCGTGTTCAGAGCAAGAGCATCACTATCGTAGCTCACGTGTATTGTTTTAAAAGGCTTCTCCTGGCCCTCCGGATTCCCATTCTTTGCCAGTGCCATCGCTGAATTGCAGATGAAACCAACTCTGAATGAGAAAAATAGTAACAACAATAAAAGACATTTTAGCGCAACATCTCTGATCGCAAGCTCCAATTGCAGACTGCTGACTGCTAACAACTCCCGGTGATGCAGGTCACGCACCACCGGAGGTTAAAAGTGAACTGTTTTTTTTTTTATTTTTATTACTGCTGTATTTTATTTTTTTTAGTAGTTTTTTTCTGTCAAAGTGATAGGATTCATAGGGTGCAGTGCACACTAACACAAAAATATATCAATGTTCATAACAGGCACACAGACACACAAATCTTTTTTCCCTCATTTCCCGCTAAAGCCCTCGTGACTGACTTGGGACCAGTCTGCGGACTACCGGTGGATCGCAATCGACTGATTGGGCACCCCTGCACTATTATTTATTTAGAATAGTGACTAAAAAGACAATAACAGTAAACCAAATCATAAGCTGTGACAGTGTTTAAAAAGAAGAAAACAATCCATGCATTTATTTGCAGCACTTACAAAACCCCGAAAGACCATAAATGTAGTGCCGGAATTTTCTCCGCGATGGATTTGATGCTCAGTGCGGCAATAAGCCATTAAATTGAAAAGTACAATTCAACATTAACCCATTTAATTCAGTGTGTCAAGAGTAACTCGACGTACCCTCTGTCGAGCAGGTTTGACCAAGCTCTGCTTGACCTCCCTCGCCTTCTTGATATCTTCTGGTGTGAGTCTGGTCACCACCGTATCATGGACACATCTGGTCAGGTGGTAAAATCTATTGGACGCAAACGTCGTGTGGAGGAAGCGTGTGTTCTGACCTGGCCAGCCAGGACCTGATGAAGATGACCCTGGACTAGGATGGACTCCTATGGTAGATCACAGCAAGCACCGTTCTTATTCAATACATCTAAATTGAGCCAACTGAAATACATATAGTTCAACCAAATGAAAAGAAATGATAAATAAGAATATCTTAGGGCCACCGCACCCTTTGAGCAATACAGTTGAAATCCACTGCGCACTAGCGCAAAAAAAAGAAAGTGCAGTTTTATTTTTGTTATACAACTTAATGACAGCCAACACCATGAACCAAGTCCGCCATGAATTACAAGTAATTAAATTCACCTTGTACTGCTATTCCGCTTCAATGACAAATTACAATTTTCTGCTACCACACAAGTGTTTGTTGTGTTTGCGTTACGTGCATCAACATGTGTGTTGTTCCAAACAAATTTGTCCATGCTGATGCATTACATGGCGATGGGATATGTGGACTCCCAGCGATATCAACTCTGTCAACCAGGATTGCGTTGTGAGGCTCCATATACAATATGTACTTTTTTTTCATGTTTCTGTTACAAATCTGTGAATAAAATATTTGAGTAAGTTCTCATTTAAAAAACTTGTGTAGGATTAAAAAGTGCCACATTGTATTGGCCCACCCTGCAAGTGTACCATTTGGACTTGCAAACATTAAAGGAGGCATGTGGTTGGTCGGACTCAGGCTGAGCTTTACATCCAACTTGAATGTTCATATCTTAATGACAACACGCTAACGATATATCACTCAGCCCTATTAGCATAGATGGCAATGGCGAGTGATGAAAAAAGTGGAAAGGGCGTGGCCTGGCCGGGGGCGTGGTTGCTTATAAAAGTGGCACTAAACATGCTGAAGATAGTGTATTGAATTTACACACTATTTGAAAATTGAACAGAAAAATATCCCAAGATCGCCACTATTCTTTCAAGTGAAAAGTTGTGCAATTTTGCTTATGCATTCCTGGTGAGCATATGTAACTCCAGATTTGCTGCTCAAAATCAAAACTAAAAAAAGTAAACACATTCCCTGCCATATTTAAGATTTGTTCATGACTTGTATTCACAAAGTATTGTGTAAATGTGATAAAAAGCTGTTGATTCTTACCTCATACAGTAACGTCTTTAGTTGTATCCGCTGACTAAGTTTGTTTGAAAAATGCCGATCCCAAAGAATAATTGCTCGGTCGAATGGCGATTTTGTCGGCATGTTTTTTTCACTTTTGTTGCATGATCTGTCAGTGCGACGCATCCACGGGAGCCAAAGTTAATTAAGTCACTCCAATACACACAATAATCTTTGCCTGCTGCGTCTGGTTTCTTCAAAAATTGTCCAAGAGCTTCTGTAACTTCGTCGAACTTGGAACCAATTTTAACCTTTACAGTGACTTTTCTGTCAAGCCAGTCCCATCGGAATTTATTCTTGACATTTGAGTCAATTTCTAGGATTAAAGACTCCTGATCTTTCGTCAAAAATTTCATAATTCCGCTCAAAACGATCCCAGAACAATGAATTTGCGAGACAATCAGGCCGCCATGAATCAGGTAAAACAATATGTTACATGCAATTTGATTGGTCCAATCGCTTGTAGTTAACCACGATTCACAAAAATGATCAATTTAAGAAATAAAACGGCGGATTTCCGCGGATCCACGGAAAATTGCCATCTATGTATTAGTGGGCAAGAACTACGAATTGTGTCTGCAGTGTTGCCGACTTAACTACCGATATGTTTTTGCAATGTTTAGCGACTTTTCTATCATCTCGAGCAACAATTTTCCCAAAAAAGAGACAAGCAAAAAATGCAAACAGTGTTAGCAGCATTCTTATTTCCTGCACAATGGAGGGAAGAGGGCCAAGAGAATTTGTAAATCTACAGTTTCATAGACTGTACGTATTTGGGTGTATTCTAAGACATCACTGTATCATTATACATCAATGTCAATAATATATTTCCCACTTATCTATTTTGGAGTCCTGGCTAGGAACAGCGATAATGAGTTGGTGGTTGGCGTACAAAATTAATATTCAATTTGTCAAGTCTAAAGATGTCATTTGAATTGCCGCTTGTAATTTTGTTTCAAATGTACTGTATATTTCCTTAACAATACATATAATATCTACACTCGGAGCAAATTATTGAAACAAGACTGTATGATATTTGTAAATACAAGCTCAAAACTGAGATTACCGTGTTGGCTTGGCCCACGGCATGTGGCCCCTTTGCAAAATTAATTGCCCACCACTGGTGAAAATAGTTACAGTACCAAAATATCTGTCGCCACCCCCTCCCCGCTGGACTGAGATGATTTTCCGAACATTCTGCTATGATGATAATGAATAACTAAAGGTAAAGACAATACCTGGAGCACTGTCGTCCGTCTGGGTTTTGTCATTAACATCAGGAGGGAACTCTGAGCCCATAGCCCATTTGGTAGCTTCATCAGTATCCACATTTTCCCAGCCCTCCATATCCGGAAAGACATCCTCCTTGACAGACTGTTGCTAAGGACATGATTGGAAAGGTAATTAAATTACAAAACTGCGATACATCTACAATCGAGCCACATAATTCTCTTCAGGAGTTGTTATCAAACATTTTTGTGAATAGAGTTCGTTACAAATTTCAAAAAACGCAAAATGATGGATGCACTGTGAATAAGACATAAACTATCACAATGTAAACTGAATTTCCTACAGGAGACATTATTTTTTTTCACAATTTCAAATCAATTCCCAGGCGTCTTAGTAACATGTCTTCAACATGCTTTCATCAAAATACAACGATCAAGAATTACAGATCCGGCGGTCAACACCCTCATTTTTAATATTAATTTGATCTTTCTGAAATGAGACTTTGAGGGGGGCTGCCCTGTGTCATCCAGTCAGCAACCGGTGTCCATGTACTGGAGATGACAGATTTTGTTACAATGATGACTCGAGGTCTGAATGTTGCATGTGAGCCCCCACAAAGATAGCATGGATTGCATTTTCTCAACATAAATCAGCAGTTCATCACCAAGCCAGTTTTTATTTTTTGCAAGTTTAGTCCCTAAAAAAATCACATTTGCAAGAGGGAAACACAGCATAGGAATTCTTACCGCATTGCTCCCACCCATGAAGGTGCTCACAAGGCCTTCCACCACTTCCTGAGCAACTTTAACTCCTGCTCCCAATGAGGAGTTGCAGGTAATTAATCTTAACTGTTCCCCCTGTGTGGTGATCAGAGCATATCCGACTTTATTTGCCCCGCGTAGTACCTGCAGGACTTCTGACATCACCACTGCGGACAGAGAGGTGGAGAAGTTATAACATGAGAATAGCTGAGGAAAAGCACTTTAAGAACCTTCCAGTACATTTGCTGAATTTTGCTTTGTGGAAATACAATACACACCGTGATAATGGTTTGTCAGTGTATCAGACCCTGTGCTTTATGTTTGTCATTCTGGTGGATGGTTTAACCTAGGGCAAGTCCTCATGAGCCCCCATCCAACCTGTTTTAGATGTCTCCCTCCTCCAACACACCTGATTCAAACGATCAGCTAAATAGCAAGCTTTGCAGAAGCCTGATAACGATTCTGACCATTTGAATCAGGTGGATTGGAAGAGGAAGACATCTAAAACTGGCTGGATAGGGGCTCTCGAGGATCGGACTTGGGCAACTATTACTGAACCCGTTTGTGTTTTCATCACGTGTCCGCATCACCAATCTAGTGTTGTCAGCAGTACGGATAATCAAGTGGTTAATACAAAACACGCGGGTACTATAGTTTACTCGAGCAATGACAGCCATCCATCCATTTTCAACACCGCTTATCTTGAAGGGGGCCAGGAATTGCTGGAGCCTATCCCAGTTGACTTCAGGCGGAAGGGAGAAAACACCTTGAACTGGTCGCCAGCCAGTCGCATGGCACATATCGAGACAAACAACCATTCGCACCCACATCGACACCGTCACTGAGTGATCCCTGAGTGATCCCACGCTGCCCGCACACAAGTCAGGCGAGTGTACCAGTCCACCATCAGAAACTGCAGAAACAGCCTTTCCTGCGTTTTTATGCTAACTAAGAAAAAAGCGGGCGCGGGCGATATTGACACAAACACAACTATTCCTCAAAGTGTGATAACGAATGCAGTATTACCAAAAATTATTATACTTACTTTTTCAGAATGGCTACAGTTCACCTTACGTATTTACAATTCGACCCTTGAGGTCGCCTTGTGTGTGCAAGGCAAAATATGCTTACGGAAGACGCGGAAGTGAAGTTTTGACCAACGTCATAGCGATCCAATCACATCGCCCAAAACAGATGCTTAAAAAAAATTGGGCGTAATTATTAGGCCAATGAAAGAAACGAATTGATGACAAAGGGCGTCTAGTCGAGAGAATGTGTCCAGTCGGATACATTGTAAGGAGGGACTAAAACGAAGGAGGCCAATTGGAATCGAGGGGAGGTTGCAAGTTTCGAGGACGCCACGTTGCACGTGCACTGTTGGAAGGTAACGGCTTCGATTCTAGCTCCGGCCTTCCTGTGTGGAGTTTTCATGTTCTCCCCGTTCCTGCGTGGGTTTTCTCCGGGTACTTCGGTTTCCTACCGCATTCCAAAAACACACATGGAAGGTTCATGGAACACTCTAAATCAGGGGTGTCAAACTCAGTTCCTGGAGGGCCGCTGTCCACCATGTCTTCCAAGTCTCCCTGTTGCAACACACCTTGATTCAAAATGATCAGATCATCAGCAAGCTCTGCCGAAGCCTGGCGTTAAACCTGTTCATTTGAATCAGATGTGTTGCAACAGGGAGACTTGGAAAACATGCAGGACAGCGGCCCTCCAGGATCTGAGTTTGACACCCTTGCTCTAAATTGTCCCTAGGTGTGAATGTGAGAGTGAAAGGTTGTTCGTCTATGTGTGCCCTGAGATTGGCTGACAACCAGTTCAGGGCGTATCCCGCCTACTGCCCGAGGACGGCTGGGATAGGCGCCAGCACGCCCCGCGAGCCTTGTGAGGATAAGCCGATCAGAAAATGGGTAGATGGATGGATGGGTTGTTCGGGACCTGCTCAGTGCTCAGCACTTCCCCTTGTGCGTGCATGTGTGTGAAACCTCGTGATGTTATTGCTGCATTCGAGGAAGGTGGGAAATCGTAGGAATCCCACTCGGATTGTCCTGATTCCGACCTCAAAGCGTTCGAGCCAAGTGTAAACAATGAAGTCTGATTCCGACAAATTGTTTCTTGTTTTGGTTCATCACATTTCCCTCCTCCAAAAAAAACGTTTTTATAATTTTCGTAAATTATATATCTCCAAAGTATTTCATTCATTTCACCGAATAACATGCAGGAAAATGACGGCATATATTTATGCAGTTAGTGTAAATCTTGTTGCATTACCTGAAGTTATTTTAAATAACTAATGTAGTAATAGGTAAATCTAAATATATGTTTATAATCTTGGAAATTATGTTTTGCCATTCACTCTCCATGGGATAGCCATTGTCAAGCGACGTCACATTGAAGTCAGTCGGTGAACTCGGTCCTTTTTTTCCAAACTTCGCAACTCAGATCTCCCAGGTGAAAGGAGCGTTGTGGTCGACTTTTCCGAGTCCAAAGTCGGAAAATATCAACTTCCCACGTTCCTCGAATGCAGCATAAGAGTGGACGCCATCGTTGTCCGGTGAGTGGGGGAGAAAAGCAGTGGAGGGGGGGAGCCGTGCACACGCCATATATGGGCACACCACCGACTCTCGTTTGCTATTGGCTGGCCGCCTTATGCAGCTGCTTGTCAACAAGATGGCCTTCCTCCTTCAGTCGTTTTGACACTGATTATTTTGGTATCCACGCACACATACCGTAAACGCTTGTGTCACTTCTAAATACATAGAAGGAGAGGGGCTGCTGAGAGTCCTAACAAGGTATACAATCCGCTAGGCTGTGTTCAGAGAACTGACAAGCCTCGATAGCAGCCACCGCCGCTTCGAGAAGATTGATAATAGAAAGTACTGTAGTTGCTGTCGACGTTAGCCCGAGCGGCAGCTAGCTTAGCTACGTGGACGCGAACACTTAAAGTCGTGTCACCTGCAATTCACTACACAAACTGGTTTGGCTACAAGAAGTACTACGAGGAAAGTCTTACCATCGACGCTTTAAGAGCTGGGACGGTTGCTTGTGAAGGCCATAGTTGTTGAGGTAAGAGTGCAAACGAAATCCGACGCCAGTGTTTGTGTGTGTTTTTTTTCCACCTTGTTATCTTGCTGGCCACTTTGCAGGTATATTAAGATATCAAGTTAGCAAGCTTGTTAGCAACTCTGTAGTCGGCTATTTACCTAACCTCCCGTATGCGAACTTGCTAAAATAAACATCAATTAAAGTACAATTTCTTCGTCCTTGGATGCGATTAAAGATCACACACAGAAGGATCTGAAAGTTTGTCCTAAACAATGAACAAATATAAATCGTGGTTCTGTGACGCTAAATCAGCTTCAATTGGCTAATTGGGTAACGTGCTACTGTATTGTCACGACTTGCTCAACGAGTACGCAAATAAACTCACCCAAAATACATAACAGCATATATGCTATGTCTTATTTGAACGTAGGATTGATTTAATTGTATATTTTGTAATTTAAATAAACAAGATCGATCATACGGCCTTCGACTATGGACAACGTTCAAAACATTTATTCACTGACACTAAGTATAACGGAAATACATATACAATTAAACCGAATTAAAGACTGTGTTTTAAGACACATCCACCCATCCGTTTTCTGATCCGCTTACCCTCACAAGGGTCACGGGGCGTGCTGGAGCCTACCCCAGCCGTCCTCGGGCAATAGACAGGGGACACCCAGAACTGGTTGCCAGCCAATCGCAGGGCTAACTAACATAGACATACAACTATCAGCGCTCACACTCACACCGAGGGACAATTAAGAGTGTTCCATGAACCTGTCATGCATGATTTCGGAATGCGGGAGGAAACCGTAGTACCCGGAGAAACCCCCAGGCACGGGGAGAACACCCAAACTCTACACAGGAAGGCCGCAGCCGGAATCAAACCCTTCACCTCTGTGCTGTGAGGCCGACGAGCTAACCAGTCGCCCACCGCGCCATATATATATATATATATATATATATATATATATATATATACACACTGTGTGTGTGTGCGTGTGTGCATGTATTTATGTGTACATATGTAAATCTCCTAGTCAGACATACTGACTGCGTGCACCGATTGAATTTGAACAGGTACAAGTGTGTCTGTGAGATGCCACAATGGTTCATGTGTTTGACGAATCAAAGTCTAACTTTTAATGTTGTCACTGTGTCGGCCTGTCACGAAAATTACGATATTGACTTATTGTTGGATAAAACAAACAAAAAAATGGGCACGGTAGTTCTTTCCAGACTCGATGAATTGCCAATTACCTGTATGTTTCTTTATGTTCATCAACATTGAGTGATGTTACTTCTTTCCTCTCCTCTCACTCAAATGGCTCACTGGTGTGGGAGGCAGGACTCAAAAGACAAAGGCACAGAAACAACTGACCACTGCTCTGAATGGTGCACTCAGCTGTATAGCCTGGTTGGCACCTTGTAGCAGTGGCACTTTTGACTATACTTGGGTTGCAGAGCCCCTCCCCTCAAGAACATACACAGATGTCCATGCAGATTGACTTGACACTGGGGTATATCGTTATTCAACCTTTGCTGTCTTTTGAACATACAATACAAAATAGTGCGGAAGAGCAGGTGGTTGATGTGGAAAAGAGAGCGCTGCAGCTATTATACTGATCTATTTCTTGGTGAAATCAAAAGACTGCTGTTGTTGGTATCTCAAGATGTTTTTTTTTTTTTGGTGCACATTTCCCTAAAAAAACAAGGGAATCAGAATTTGCACACAGCTTATTAGCGTCTATAGGTTGGTGGTGTGCATTTAATACCCATCCATCCATCCATTCATTTTCTGATCAACTCATTCTCACTTGCTCGTCCATTAACCTGCCATGCATATTTTTGGAATGTGGGAGGAACCCTTAGTACCTGGAGAAAACCCACACAGGCACAGAGAGAACATGCAAACTCCACACAGGGAGGGCGGAGCCGAAATCGAACCCTGCACCACTGTGAGGCTAACGCTCGAACCAGGCGACCACCGGGCCGCCAGCATTTAATACCCATGTTTGGTAAAGAGCAGGCTTCCTGCTGAGGTTCTTGTAAAACATATTTTAAATGTCCTTAAATTTTAGCCCACATAACCATTTAACATTTGTATATTTCCACTTACCAAAACTCTTGCTTGTGTATTTTGCCAGAGAGCACATGTACATCGGTAAAAGGATGTCCCAAAGGTCCCAGCTCTGAAGTTTTGTTGGCTGCTTTTGTGCTTGGCCAGGATTTGGTGGATTAGTTTGATGCAGAAAGCTTAAATCCAGACCTTCTTTTTCAGGAAGTGTTTCAAATGAAGCTTGTATTTAATGTAGCTTGGTACTTGGACTGCTGTGGTTCACCACTTTATGTTATGTTGAACATTGGTGGTCATATTGAATATGTCATGCTCTTTATGAACACTTTATGAGGATTTTGACTTTTTAACATAATTAGATTGTTGTCACTCCTGTTTTGTTCAGGCTTTAAGGTAACACAGCAAATGAAAACAACGAGCAGAGTGATCCACCATGAAGAGTTGTCACAGTTTGATTGTTAAGGGCCTGGACCAATGGTCCGGACCGTCAGGTTCGGTGGGTGTAGTATTCTCACCAAGTAGCCTTGTATTAAACTATACAAAGTGAATGGGAAAAATAGACATGACATTTATTACAACTATGATGCTTTCAGCACAGTTTTGATTACATTCGACACCTTGTTAAACACATTTTGAAAGCGTAGTGGAACATAGAGTAGAGTGAGTAGGATGTTTCCACACCCATGTTCAAATGCTTTTTGTGAGGTAAAAAGTTACATCAAGAAATCATTTCAAAACTTTTTCCTCCTTTTAATATGACCTACCCCATATACAACTCATTTAAAAAAAAAAAACAAATGGAAATCTCATGTCAAAATTGAATTCAAGTCTCTGTGGTTGGCATCCGTTGATTGTGTCTACCTTGAGCCCCAAATGACCGGCTCCGCAGCCTGTGCTGACCCACTGATGTCACAAACCGGCTGACATACCCTAAAAATTGTTTGATGATACCAGTGTAGCCTGTACTACCAGAGACAAATTCCTTGTGTGTTCTACATACTTGGCCAGTAAAGATGATTCTCATTCTGATTCTGAAAGTGTGATAAGCCGCTCAGGCATTGCTGAAGGCGGCAGGTAGTAGCCACAAGGACTAATGTGAATTGCATAACTTTCACACATTTCATAGGTACATTGAAGTAATGTGCTTAAGTTCAGTACAATTACAAACTTGCCCACGTGAGTCGGGCTCATTCCCCTATTTGACATGAGGGACCCACCGGGGCTGCCTGCCTTCCGAGTCCCGAAAAGAGGGACTGGAGGGAATACAAGCCCTAGGTAGCGATATACACTCGATGACTTAAAAAAAAAAATAATAAAATAAAAAATCGGACAGTCATAACGTTAGTGGTGTAATGAGTCTCTTTTAGTGATTTCTATAACGTTTGTGTTGGCTCATTCACAGTTTTGCGTTTTAATTTGTTTGTTCGAGGCCCAAAATGTGAATTGCGACTCGCATACTTTAACGCAAAACAGCTTATTTCAAGCATTGGAGACGCGTCCTTGTTCGGACACGAGCATTATTGACCCGCTGCGGCTACATCACTTGGTCAGTGCAAAGTGACGGGCGGCAAAAGATAATGACTTCCAAATAGAAGTGGATGGAAAACGGAGCAACTTAGCGACTGTATGTTATTTTTGCCCAACTAGCCATTACATCCAACACTTCAACTGCTGCCTGCTATGTTGTTTAATCAAATCGCCGACTTTCCCGGAATTTACAATGCATGACCTCTATCATTATGTTTTCAATGCCGCATCCCCTTACACTGGAGCTAATTTAAAAGCTTATAAAAGCACCTACACAATTATTATCAGACAGCAAAAATCTGTTAATTCGTAATGTTGGAGAAAGAAATCCTTAACTTACTGCAGAGGTTTAATAAAGTATGAAGAAACGTCTCTTGGTCAAAACCTCTAACGCAACCATTGTTTTCATTTAAAATTTTCAACAATATGGTATAAAAAATTTTCCCCCCCATTTAGGATTGTTACGTACCGACCTAAATTAACGCTGATTTTGCTCTACACATTGTGACAATTCTTTATTCTTGATTCTCTTGTCTTTTTTTTTTTTTTTTTTATAATTCCGAATAGCCGATTATTCGATAGAATATCCGAATACCTAAATACTCAACAGCTGCAGCTCTATTGTCCAGCTCTACTAGAGATTTAATAGTTGCCCTCATATTTTCCATGTAGACTCAGACATTGAAATCAGCTGTCCGAGGACAAGCTAATGAAAGGGGCATAGTTGCTCTTTCATGACAGTCTCACTGAAGTCGTTGCATGTTTGGACCTGCACATATGGAAAACACTGCACAGACACGACAAGTTAGATTCGTATACATTTTCTTTCCCCCGGTTTTTAACATCCTTGGTCAACATGTTACTCACACATCTGTCAAGTCCGTTTCAAGGGTTGAGTCAGTGTTCTAATTGTCTTGTTTTGGTTTGTCCTAAAGAGTACCAGAGGTTGCTGGATGAGCTGTTCAGTATATGTGGCTTGAAGCTGTTTTTAGCAGCATAGAAAGCCTTTTGCAGTGAGCCAAACTCATTGCTGTAATACCCCTTTGCCCTTTTAAGTGCTCCTGTGCATACTTGACGGCCCCAAAAGCTGGCATTGCTGCGGAAGCAAAAGCATTTTGGTTGCACTTGGCCTGGAGCATTGTCAGAATCAAGGGGACAGGACAAGAAGACTAGCAGTTTTACCGCAACCCCACCCCCTTCGATTCTTTGCTGAAAATCGTTTCAGCAAATGCCCGCATGCTCCTTACGTTGCTTTGTATTAAGCAATCCTATTTGAGCCACAAAGATTCAGCAGAGGACGGTCCATTATGTTGCATCTCATGTGTTTGATACAGACACTAAACCTGAAATGGAATCTCTTTATTTGATTTTGACGGGCGAGGCACAGGGAGAGGATGTGATTTGCTGTATGGAGCTTCATTTTAGTTAGATGCTGGGCATTTGTCGTTAAGCGTGTATTAATTTTGAAGCTACCGTATTTTTCGGATTGTACGTCGCTCCGTTTATAAATCGCACCAGCCAAAAAATGCATAATTAAGAAGGAAAAAACATATAAGTCGCACTGGAGTATAAGTCGCATTTTTGGGGGAAATGTATTTGATAAAATCCAACACCAAAAACATACATGTCATCTTGAAAGGCAATTTAAAATAAAAATAAAATAGAGAACAACAGGCTGAATAAGTGTACGGTATACTAACGTTACATGACTAACATGCCTGGTAATGTCAGTAACGACGTAACATATTAAGAGTTATTCAGGTCACTCTAGCATAAAGAACATGCTAACACGTTTACAAAACTATCAGTTTCACTCCAAATCACTAAATCCAATGAAATCTCCATCCTCGGTTTCACTTTTAAACAACTCCCCCAACTCGGGAGGTAGACGATGCACCGCTTCCTTTCTACTTCGCTTACCTCAGACTCATCGTCGATTTAGCAACACAGGCCGAGGGCGCCCTCTTGTGGTTTAATGTGAAAATAACGTGAAATGACATAATCATGTGTTAATAATTTCACACATAAGTCGCTCCAGACTATAAGTCGCACCCCAGGCCAAACTCTGGAAAAAAAACTGCGACTTATGGTCCGGAAAATACGGTAGTTTACTTTTGTCTGGTGTCTTTTATGCTTGAGAAAAATGACTATGCATCGAATGTGAATCGCTTCGTATATTAATGAGGTTCTCACCTGTCGAAATATTAATGGTTTTAATCATTATGCTTTCTGTTTTCTCTCAACTTCATTCTCCCTCTTCTCACTGTCCTCTTAATCCAGGTTGCATGCTTGATCTAAGGGAAGCTCTGCGGCAGACTGTTCCCCACAGGGCAGCACCAAGATAGGACTCTGACCATGAGCGCGCTGGTTGTGGGTACCTGCAGGCCAGCATAGCTGCTGGCATGTTCCAGAGGTCCGCGTCCTGATGGACCGAGACACCTTCTCTCACATCCGTCTGTGGTGCCCACGCCCCTTTGGCACCTACTCGCAGAACAAAGCCAGGAGTCCTGGCACAGGGGGCAATGTTATAGCCGTAGGTGGGGCAGGGTCTTCCTCCCTCTGCAAGGGTGATCCCCCTCCTGGTGCGAGGAGGGCCGGAGATGGCACAGAAGATGGAGGAATTCTCGTGGGTGTGCAGGAAAACAATGTAAAAGTGGAGGATGTGGGCTCTGAGAACACACCACCTGAACCTGAACTTAACTCTGGCTCCCTGATGCAAAGTCAGCCCGCTATGCCCACATCCTCTCCTCCACCGCTCCCTTCTTCTGGGACTCAAATGGAAGATGGTCGAGTGCTGCTGGACACCTGGTATGTCATTAAACCAGGAAACACTAAGGAGAAGATTGCCTTCTTTGTGGCACATCAGTTTAGTGGGGCAGGCCAACCCCGACCCAGCGCCATGAAGGTAAGATGTGAAACCAAAAATGTGTGTTTTGAATTCAAGATGTTTTTCCAAGTACCTCTCGTTCTTTTTTTTCATCACAGGTTAAAGGCAACTGGGCAACTGACTGTAGTAAAGCAAAAAGGCGAAGAAGATGCTCATCCTATGACCCACCAAACCGTACACTTGCCTCCGAAACGCACCTCAGCCATGGCTCCTCTGAAGCACCCAAAGCACTCCCTAGCCCTGATCAACCAGCAATCGATGGGGCGACTGAGACCGACCTGCTGTCAGTGGCTCAGATGGTTGCCTTGGTTGAACAAAGGACAGCCATGGCCCTCCGGAACATTGTGGCTGTACACGGAAACCAGCACCAGCCCTCCATTTCCAGTCAAGAGCAGGGCTTTACCCCTCACCAGCACACATTACTCCGGGAAACAGAATCGGAGCCCTCGCATTTGTCCTTCATGTCTGACAATTCAAAAGGCCAATCTTCCAAAGAAGTCAAGGAATTATCCGCTCCCATTCAGACGGACCAGGAGCTGGAGGAACAGCAAGAGTCATGCCGGGTTGCACAGGCCATCGCGCACTTTGAGTCTCAGAATCTGGAGAATCGCCTCCATATGGGCGCTGGTTCAGCTATTGGCTTTTCTCATCGAGACAGGGAGCTGAGAGGAGGAGCAGAGTCCAGTCATGTAGCTCCTCCGCCACCCCCCAAGCACAGCCAAGGGGAGGTGAGGATAGCTTTCAGAGTATCAAATCTGGACCCTTCTTCTCAGCTGGAGCCGGCAGGCCGGTCACGCTGTATGTTTATGAGTTGCGGAGGCGGGAGCAGCCAGGCGGCAGCCAGATCGAAGGAGAAAATTACCTGTGACCTCTACCAGCTTGTCAGCCCCTCTTCAAGAGACCCCAGTAGCCTGCTGCTTGCCGCCACGACTCCTGCGCCGAAACCAGACGGAGACCTTCATCACTATGACAGGCAGACCTGTGGCAGCCCGGAAACATCCCAGGAACCTTCTTCTGGCGAGAAAATATCTCTGGGGGTGGGTCGGGAGCGAGTGACGGGATTTCACGTGGAAGTCGTGGTGACAGGTGCTGTGGACCAATGTGTGTTTTATGGCAAGGACAGTACAGAAAATGTTCAGGAGGAGACTGTGTGTTTTGCTATGTCTGGTGGGGGAGGAACGGTTGGCTCTACTGACCACTCATCAGAGGATCCTCCTCCAGGACAACTCTTTTTCTTTCCATCGGCACGAGTGGCAGAGGAGGAATCAAATGCAACGGCTTCTGGCAGGGGTTCGGGATTATGCTCACTGGACTGTGCCAACAGCAGCAGCCCAGGAGCAGGAGTTCCATGCTCAGGAGAGCGCGCACCTCGACCGGACTCTCCCCGAGCCAGTGTTGGGGAAGATTGTTCAGACCCATCGCTGTGTCGCCTCTATCGCCACGTCTCCCATGATTTTCTGGAGATCCGCTTTCAGATTCAGCGCTTGCTGGAACCTCGCCAGTATATGCTGCTGCTCCCTGACCACATCATGGTCAATATCTTCAGTTACCTTCCTACCCGCTCCTTGGCAGCCCTCAAATGCACCTGCCACTACTTCAAGGTGCTGATCGAGACCTACGGCGTGCGAGCTGTGGACTCTCGCTGGAATCAAGACCCCCTTTATCGAGATGACCCCTGTAAGCAGTGTAAACGCCAGTATGAGCGCGGGGATGTTTCACTGTGCCGATGGCACCCTAAACCTTACCACCATGACCTGCCTTATGGACGTTCTTACTGGATGTGTTGCCGACGTACGGACAAGGACACGCCAGGATGTCGTGTCGGACTTCACGATAATAACTGGGTCCAGCAGGCTGTTGATGGCTCTCAGCCCGTCCGATCCAAGAGAGAGGTCAGACGGGAAGAGGCCAGGTAGAAGAGTAAACATTTTTGCCTCTCATTTCTTCTGCTTACCCCGCGTCATTTCTACTCAAAGGATGAGCATGTAAAAGGTGAAAAAGAAAGAGAAATAATCACTCCAGGACGTTGTTAATTCCACCTCATATCTTGTTACTCTCAACATGGTTGAGTGGCAAAGACGGAACAAAAAGAGGTGTGCCACACCATGGCTTTTTTTTTTTTCTTCGCCTAGTCCTACAGAATTTCTCTCCTCACTGTACTACAGAGTGGCACATTATCAGGTGTGCCTCCCTACCAGTTTTGGGGTCTCTTTTTGCTGCTGTCTGTTTGCCCTGTTCCAATGCCTCTCGCGTGTCAGGATTACTGCTCAACTCCGTGCATTGGAGGTCATCAGAAAGTTCCTGTGACAAGTTTGCAGTGTATTTGATTGAGATTAGCATTAAGTGACAAATAGAAATGTAATGCCCTAGAGCCTGGTTTTTGTCCCAAGACTTTTGTCTCCGTTCTGTGTTAGACCACCAACTTCCATACGCTCATTGGGTTCAGCGCAGCCGATTTCATAAACGAACTGTACTGAACCCACCATGCCAAACCATTCAGTGTGGAATGTCCAGCATTGCTAAAGAAATGTGATTGTATGCGGCAAACTTGATATTCCACCATATGGGCTCTGGCCTGCACCATGCATTTCTATTTCTCTGAATGTGCTGTATTTATTATATGTCGATCAGTCCCCCTGATAATGCTGCTGAAACCCCATTGGCTGTGTCACTGATGTTATTTCTGGAAATGCCATACCATGAGTTGATACAGTCTCACATACTTTATCAGGTGCCCCCTCCCCCCCCGGATTCTGAACCTACTTTAGTTCACCAGCCGTCAACAGGAGAAACAAAGGACTAATTCTGGGAGATACAATGTGTAGATTAAGATCAGTGGGATTAAGACAAAAAAAGAAATGTCGCTTTTTATGATTGACTGACTTGCTTGTTTGCCTTTTTTTTTTTTTTAATGGGGATTGGCTTTTTTTCGGGTGTACAAGAATGTTTGCTGTCCTGTTGTCCTACAGGACTTTGCTCCTTATCAACTGGTCCTCTTTCCCAAATCACAAAGAATGTTTTTGTGTTTTACGCATCATTGTTCAACTTGTCCATCTCACTTTTTCCTTCTCCGTCCTCCAACTGGGCAGAGGGTAGTGTTGGCCATCGGCAACAATGCTCTTGTGTTAAACCAACCAACACAGACCATAGAAACTTTCCACCAACCTCCAGCCTTAAATCCCCCCTTACCTCTAATTCCCTTGCAGGAGGCATCAGATACCTCACAGATGGTCAAAAATATTAGGTGTTGCACCATACCCCCCCCCCCCACACACACACACCTTTTTTAAGGGGTTTAATAGACTCTTCATAAAATAAAATTAAAAAGTCCTCTCTTCCTTCAGCTTTTTCCCTTGCTTTTCGACCACCACATCCCAACAACCTGACTGATTGGACATTTTTATCGTGTTGCTGAAACTCTGCATGAAGGTGGGACAGTGGTTTGATCGTCATGGGAGATATCCGTTGGTTCCAGATATGATCAACTCTAATGGGAAATATTGGCATAAATGTAAAAGAGGTGATGATTAAAACTGGAAATCCAACATTGACATGGTTTCTGTGGTGTTTCATGTGTGGAAAGACTGAAGTACTGACTACAGGCATAGAATTACGGTTGGATCGGATGAATGGTTTAATTGTCATCAAGTCAGGACTATAATTGTGAAGAAAAAAACTGGCTGACGCAATGAATGTCACTGAATCAATGTCTAACAGAACTGTCATGTAAATGGAAATACACCGATCTTACACAGGACTCCTTGGTTACAAATGTAGAACCAGCTTAATTTGTGCATTATATTTAACAAGGTGCAGGAATAGAATGAGAAGGTTTTATCATTTGTAACATTATTTTAAAGATGATATTGTCGACAGGAGCATCATGGGGTCCTGGATTTGTCAGTTAATTTTGGACACCATTTGAATAGAATAAACGGAAACCAGCTAGCTGCTCATGTTACCTAAGTACAGACATTGTTGTTATTTCTAAAACCCATTGCCCTTGTTGATGGACACATGGTGTGGAATGCTTGGCTGCGGTAGTTTTTGGACCGGCACAACCTCCATCTAATACAAAACAGGATGCCATGCAGGATACCTGCGGTGAAGATGATGCAGCACAACCCTTCGGAATAGTCATGCGCTCCATTTTACCTCTCTTATTTCATGATGCACTTAATCAACAATCAATCAACACATAGCACGAACAAAGTTTAATTTGTATTGCAGTTAAAAAAAAAACCTAACTAAAACTGATGGCAGAAAAACGACTTCACTGAAGGATGGAGCATGTGTGCAGTGTAAAGAGCTGGCGTTTAGCAGATTTACCACTTTAGAACAGGAAAGCCCCTAATTTTCCACATGCATAGCAATGGCACACAGAAAAAAACCCGTTTGAATTCACAAATCCATTGTGGCAAGACGATTTTGCACAAGTTTAAGCTCTAAACGAGATTGCCTTTGATTTATTTTTAGAATAAGCCTAGTCTCCTTTAAATGAGTTGAAACATGCAAATTACACTGCAACTCAATGAATACAATAGAGGCAAAATCTTGAACTTCATCAGTGCGTTTTTCGCGCATAAATTCAAGCTTCTGCTTTAACATAAGTCCTCTTCAAATAATTGACTGAAACTGTGTAATCCAAGCTCGACCCCCCCCCAAAAAAAATCAGCCCTTAAAAACAAAACAATGCAGTTTTGAGTAACACTAGAGAAGTATTGCACTTTTTATTGGATGAATGGTTATCTTCTGGCGAGACAGGACATAGTGACATAAAATTATCCATTTTGAGCAAACATAACATTTGCATCATTCGATCACCCCTGGCAACCGAGCATTCAAATTTCTTGGGTTACTTCCTGCTAAGTGATCTATCAACTAACTAAAAAGCTGGCCAATGTATAATTTTGTGCTTCACTGAAATTCATTCAGTAGAAGGTCTGTGGAACCTTCTTAGATTGACTGGATGATGGCTTGAGAAAACTAAAAATAAAAAATTTCAAAATAAGGTGCGATGTTGCAGATATTTGAGGTTCTACAACCTTTTTACATTCATTCACAAGTTCAATCCCTGAAACAAACACATATAAGATGCCTTAGTTCTGGTGTATCAAACTCCGGTCCCCGGGGGCCACTTTCCTGCATGTTTTCCATCCCTCCCTGCTGCAACACACCCGATTCAAATAATCAGCTCACCAGCAAGCTCTACAGGACCTTGAAAATGATCCCGATCATTTGGCTCAGGTGTCGGCGGGAAACATCTACAACATGCGAGGACAGCGGCCGTCGAGAATTGGGAGTTTGAGAGCCCTACTATCCAACAACAATTTCCAAATCAATCAGAACATCTACATAAACTAAGAGCGTCACGGGGTGTCACAAACTGTAAATGAGAAAACAGCCTTTCGAGGTGTTTGTTGAGATTTTAGATTTTCTTCATTATGTTCAGCAGGCTCTATTTAGGGATGCGTCGGCTTAAGAGGCAGTAATCAAGTCAGGTAATGTGATTAGTTTCGTTGAACTAAATGACCACATCCGAATTGGCCGACTGGTTGTGCATTCACATGGCATATCAAAATATTTAATAGGATTCACAAAATCATCACAGCTTGTGCCACTCTGGAGTGACTGGTTTTGAGTTTTGCAACCAATAAATAAAACAATTGCGTTCGTGTCATTTCCTTGTGGAGCCTGCGCAGGACTTGCTTGTTGTCGGCTGAACCGCATAGACATGGTTCAAAAGAACAACTAACTTAAAATCAATCAAAAGTAAATACTGAGCAGAGAATAGTAGAAACAATCAGTCATAAAACCATTTGTTCAGGTTTCTGAAAAATTCCTTAAAATTACAGAACACAACTCAAGTATTTTGTCTTGCAACAGAGCTGTGTTAAATGCTAGACACTCAACACTAGATGAATTCAAAACAATAAAACCAATGTCAGGATTTCAGTGTAAGGTGATAAAAGTACATTTAGGCCCATTTACCCTTTTCGCCCCGTCATCTGTTTCTACGATCTATACGGTGCGGTTGCAATTCGACTTTTGTGAAATTGTGACCAAGTTGAAGCTGTCACCTTATCTTGAGTTGCGAGCGGTTCCCGTCAAGCTACTCATGCACAACGCAGTTTTCTTTGGCTCGTCTCAGTCTGAACAGGATGTGTTTCTTAGGGAACTTAAGGGTGGTACACCCAAATTGACTGACGCCTCCTGTGTCTCCGGGGAGTTTCTCACGTCTCTGCACCCAGCTGCGCCAGCCGGGCTTCCAACAGTACACACTGTCATAGAACCGGGAGCCGTTTTCTCCGCCCAAAACATAAATCCTCCGTTTCCACCTGGCTACGCCCCCAGCTGCGATCCTCCGCGGCAAGCCGGGGAAAATCACAGGGCTCGGTGCTCTATCGCTGCCCCCACCTGCGCCTGCGCGCTGCTCTGCAGAGACCGTTACCCCTCCACCGGTCACCTCTCGCTCCACGCCAAACGCCCGGCCCTCCCTGAAAAACAGCACGCGGCCAGTTGCGTCCAATGTCTCCAGATTGGTGTAGTTTCCATCGAGGAACTTAGTGGTGTCCCTGATGTATCCGCCGATGGCACAGACTCCTCCTCGCACTGCTACGCCTCCAGCGAGGCAAGTAGCGCCAGAGTCCAGAGCCACTCGAGTCCAGCAGTCTGTAAGTGTGTGATAAATAAGTACACCTGAGTGGACCACAGCGCGGTTCTGTTCAAGTGTGGTTCCGCCTAAAAGGTAGAGTCGTCCCCGCAGAGCTGCGCAGGCGAACGCGCGCAGGGGGAGCGGTAACCGAGGACCCGGTGCCCACTTCAGTGTCGTCAGCTCCAGGGTCTCACTGGAGTCTAGTAGTGCCGAGCGATTGCTTCCCCCTAAGGCGTAGAGGGACTCGCCGCAGCTCAGCAGGCCCAGCATACACCGGGGTTGGCCCATCGAAGGGCGTTCTGTCCAGCGGTCCAGCACAGCATCGTATTCGTGCACAGCTGAAGACACTGAGCCGGTCCCCAGAATTCCACCTGCTACAAACAGCCTTTCGCCCACAGCCGTGCAGCCAGGACTTACTAGTGAGCCCAACGCTGCCAGCTTCTCCCACTTCCCCGTCCGCGGGTCGAAGCAGTCCACGGTGTAGTCTCGTGCGAGTAATCTCTCATCTTCCCTCGGTGTCAGATCCACGCAAACAATTTTTTTCTCAAACATTCCTTCCCTTGGACGCAGAGGCCCCCCGAGGCCCTCCCCAGCTGCGGCGAGGCCCAACTCCTGGCTTAGTCTTCGACTCTCCTCCTGTGACAGCAGTCCCGGACGCAGGTGGTGAAGCAGCGCTGGCATGTGGGCGTAGCGATCCAACGGTTGGTGCTCAGCCCAGCGCCTTGCTGCATCGTACACCTCCGCCTCGGAATCTACTCCCAAACGGTCCGAACTCAGGAGGCTACCGAGAGTGCTGTGATCAAGGAGAAGGAAGTCTTTATGGCGGGACACACGTGGGAAGTGTTGGGCCACCAGCCGCAGGGAGGCACGGAGCAACACCTGGTCATGGTGAGATCGAGCTAGGGAATACATCCCCAGACAGTTGTCCACTGACAAGTGCTCAAATAGAAATCTGGAGGAAATATATTCCAAAGGAAAAAAATTAGTTCACTCCACTTGTACTATTTGTTTCAACTCTTCAGAAACAACAAAGCTCTCATCCTTTTGGCGTCACCAAATCGGAGATGGCCTTTGAGCTACTCATACTGTTTGTGACAATGCAAACAATGTACCAAATGCATGGCAACTCGTTAAGCATTTCCGGTGGAAAGGCGTTTTCGGTCTTTGCTTGTTTCAAGCTACTGGGATGCCCGATGGGAGGAAAAACAACCTCATTCGTGAAATTTGAGATATTGTGGGCTTGTACAGTGCTGTAGTTATGTTAAATTATCCGGTTATTGTGCATTTCATAAGATAAGTAGCGACTTTTTGAAGACAAAGGTATCCAGTCGTCTCTGTGATGAGCCGGCTGATAGGTTCACCGAGTCAACTCAACCTTTTATTTGAACACATTTAGCAGTGAGCCGTTAACGGAGATCGAAAATGTATACATTCTAAGACAATTTCCAAGTGCAACAAAAGAATTGGCGACATAGCATCGTGGCAGGTAATAGGTTGTCATTATTATTTTCAAACCATCAACTTTGCTGCATGTGCATTGCACACCATACAGTGACAATAAAGGCTTTCTATCCTATTTAAAGAACTCTATTGAGCATCTCCAAAAAGCTGTGCAAGCGGACTGCAAAACCGTGGATGGCTCATTAAATCAGATACAGTGTGCTGCTTTGACAGCTTTGACGATACTTGGATAAGTGGAAAAATTAGAAAGCACACAGTGAATATATTTTTAGTTTGACGCTGTCATTGTTATCGCTCTGCCTTAGCCTAGCGACCGGAAGTAAGCAACCATCACACCCCAAATACAGTAATGGTGTATGCATACAGTCCATTCTTTTCAAAGACGGCAGGCATAGAAATGAAGATTATTATTATACTTTTCCAATTATGAAGGGTTCAGTGAATACAGGCATGATACTGTCACGGGTACCTCCAACAAGGATCAACCACTGACAACATTAAACCACACATATGACTTCACCTGGAGCACAGGTCTTGTAGTGGCATAACCTGAAGGCGATTGGCGGCCACAAATAGATCCTCGGCGGTTTCCAGAGACAGCCCTGCCTCCCCGGAGTACACAAACTGGATGACAGTCTCCATGACAGATGGTGTCACTTCCTCCAGCCGAATCTCGGTGAGGCGAGACTCCACCAGAGGACTGGTGAACATGGCCCTGAAGTACGGGCTTACAGCTGCGAGAAGCACCCTGAACAGGCCAAAGAGGAAAGTTGTGTGTACATATGAAAATGCTTTTAAAACAATAGCCAATCACATGGAGCTGCAAAAACATGGCAAAAATAGCATATGAGGCCCATACACGTGCACAATAAGTGCTTGTCGGCCATCTTCTCTAAAAGTGTATTTGTAATACTCTGATTGGCCTGTACTGTATGTAAGCACAAAGAAGTTTACGGCGGTACCCGCAATGTTTTGAAATTACGAACGCCGCGCTTACTGCTTTTCCTTTGATTGTTTTATATTTATGGCCTAAGAGTGTTTTTCATACAAATATTTACTGTAATTCTGACTTCACTACTGCATTACCGTACGTTAGGGATGGACTGGGGGCATTCTAAGTTACGTACAGATTCAGGTTTGTCACTGTCAAAGGAACGGGCCCCTTCAGTTACATTTATGGGAGTAATGAGCCCCCACTGGTCACTATAAACACCGGAAGAGACCACACCGGAAGCATTATCAAATTAATTATCTTGAGCGGCACATATGCAAAAATAGCTAGGTATGGTCATTCACCATTCATGTGTGTGTTAAGTGTTTGGACAGGAATGACGCTGTTGATGAGGAAACAAGCGGGGGAAATTTCACTATTTAAAATTCTTATAAGCGGTCTTGTGCAAAGTGTCCCATTTGGGGAAAGACGGACAACTACCTTGGTTTGGACTGATTTCAAACTCAGAAAATGTATTTTATTGTACTATTAAGAGAAAATACGAAGATATTTTGATTTGTGCTGTTTAATATGAAAAACAGAACTCTGTAATATTAAAATCTATCAAAAGACAAATCAATGACATAATTAAATAGAATCAAACAGCTTTTCTCACTCCCTCCTTCAATGCACATTGTGGTGCTCATTCTGGTGTGTGCGCCTTGCCCAACTGGGGGCAGTATATGTTAGACACACATGCATACAGTGTACATTTCGCTCCTTTCTTGGCTTCTCAGTACGGCAGGAATATTAGTTGTTCTTTGCAGAGGATAGATAATGTATGTCTGTGAGAATTGCTATGATCTGTTGACATGTGTTTCTGCACAGTTTGCGTTTAGCTATCCCTTGCTTAAAGGGTCAGAACACGACCACATAGATGCTAATTCTTAGATCATGTGACTGTGAAGATTCCACTTGTATGTTAGCACTAAAGTAGTGAAGTGTATATTCTGCCCATATTTAGCCATGTATAACTTTCTCATGCCCATAATGAAACTCTGTTTTGTAGCCAGATGTGTCCTTGAAGCAACACCACCTCATTGGTTAGGCACCGCCCTTCTGATGATATAAATATGTTGTGAATCCTTTGTGTCTTTGCACTCGTGATCCGCAGCCATTGTCTGTAAAACATGGTGCCCGGAATATTCTGCAAATAAAACCTTCGAAGGTACTGTTCATCGTCTCAAGCCTGTATTTGGATAGCCAACATCCTCACCTACCGAAATTAACGAACACGCGGAGGAAGAGAAAGGCCATCTCTCCCCCAACTGTAGCAAAGGCTATCTGGGTGTTTTAAATAAACAAGTAATTCTGTTTTATGTTTAGTTTGACAGAAACCTTTAGGGTAGAGTGGCACAAAACAGGTTGGAACCTCTTTTTTAAATATATTTCATTACAGCTTCCAAACATGCTGTGAAGTAAGTTGAAAGATTGCTAAGTCAGGTCATTCCTATCTCAAGGCACCAAGTCCACTCTGCCGTTTATTGCCAAATGACAAAATATTCAGCGTTGGCTGAAATCAGCAAAACCTACATTATAAATGTAGAATGTGAGCGTGATCCATTCCTCTATCCATTTACTACACCATTTAGCTTCATTTGGGTCCCGGGTGAGCTGAAGCTTATCCCAGCTGACTTTGAGTGAGAATCAGAGCCGGTTGCCAGTCAACAGTAGGACCCAACTTTGGCCTGGAGTACAAATTTGTCTTGGCCCTATCTTGGAACGACGTTAATCATAATTGCCTAGTCAAGTCCAAGATGGCGCCTGAGTAGGCAGCCATCTGCAAGTGCTCTCATGAGCCTTGCTTTTTTTGTTGTTTTTCTGTTTGTTTTGTCACTTTGTGTTTGTTGTTACGTCGTATGGACCTGATGTGGACTGTTTTCAGCATTTTTTGGCCACGACATTCATCAAGGAGGAGACTCGGTGCTTGGTGGTTTTGCCTTCTCGGCAGCATGGGTATGCCAGCACTGTTTTTGATTGGGAGGAATGTCGGCGCCATTTGACTGTCGTTTCTGGACAGCTCCGGGGGCGCTTGTGTCTTGCGCCTGTAATGGGCAGCATTTTCACAGCCCCGCTTTGTTCAGCGGAGAGATCGGTGCTGTTGAACGGTCTGCGGCTGGATGGATGCAAGGCTTGAGGAGCCGACGATGAGAGGAAAGGAGCGTTAGCGCAGAGCGCCGATGCGGATGTTGAACCGGGAGTCGCGGCTTGGAGTTGAAGCGGATTACGTGGGACAGGAGTAGTGAACTAATCTCTTTTTGTCAATGGACGCTACAGCTTCGTGTTTGCTTTCAAAACTTAGCTTGTAGCAGACGTGCACATTTTCAGCATGACGTCTCTGATCCACTGGTAAAAGGACACTTTGATCCTCTCCTCTTTCATCTATAACTGCTTCAGACAACAAAGTGTATGCAGGAAAGTGGTGACGATTGCACGACTATCTGTGTCCTATGTGTTGTGTTGTGTTATTTTTGTTATTTTGACTTCAAGATGGCACCGCGAGAGTGGCTGCCTTTCCAGCAGCTCCTATATTTTGTTGTTCTACTTCTTCCATTCATAACTTTGCTGCTGTGAATTGGGAATTTCTCCATTGCGAGACTAATAAAGGTTTTCTTATCTTATTTCAGTGCATATCTGAGTACATGACAACCAATGACTAGTGTATGAGTTGTAGAATGTTGCAGGTGTACCTGTGACACAGGAATTTCTTTCCCTCGACAAGCAGGGTGACATCACACAGCTGCTGAGCTTCCAGGAGCTGTTTCAGTCCTGAGTATGTATGAAGAAAAACAGAGTGATGTAAGAACCACACTGTGCAGATGACAAGGGAGGTCATGGGAGGAAAGGAGTTAAACTGACTTGTCTGCAAGTCATGTCCTTGAAGGGTACCCCCTCTTTATTTGAGCCTGCCTCACCAAGAGTGACGTAGTCTCCCAGCGGAGTGGTGCTGTCATCGGGAAAGTCCTCCTCCTCTGAGTCACTGTCTGAGAGAGGCTCCCCTCCTCCTCCGTCCCCATCCTGCCATGGCTGGGGGCGCCATGTGACTGTTCCCCCACGCACAGCATTCATCTGAAGTGCAGTAAACACACGCCCAACATATACTATTTGATTGTTGTGCAAGCCAAAGTTAATGATCGCTTAGAGAGTAGCCCAACTTAATTAAAAAAATACACAATAGTGTGTGTGGGGGGGATGTGGGTATCTATCAAATAAGATAGCAAAACTGTATTTACATGGCAAGCTATTTTCATGTCAACACTACCTTTGCTCTTCTTCTCGTTTCCACTGTGAAGGCCGGTTGTGTCTCACTTCAACAGGAAAGTGTGAGGCACGTTGTAGAGGGCTAATTTGCACCCGAACACCCGTTTTACAGTCACAGACAGTACTGCGCTGCTCCGGGCTCAGCCGATAGGTTTCGTCCAGCCTGCGGTGAAGACAGATCGGTCACACGCTGCTCATCCAGCCACACGCACATCAGTAAAGGATATACAAAAATGAGCGCACACGGGAACGATTCTCCTCCTGTTCATAACCCGTCCCGCCGTAACAAGTGATACTCCTCGGTGGCAAATAGTCTCGTGACATGCGACTCAATGATTATGAAGCTTAAAAGAGGTTAGTTTTGGGAATACGGACCAAGAAATGTAAACTGAATTCGGGTCCAGCCGTCCGCACTTGTCATATCAGACCGGATCACCGCAGCGCTTAGTTTCGGCTCACCTGATTGGCTGACCTTTAGCTCGTGACAATATTTCAGCTTTCCGTACACAACTGCTATAATGTTAATATTCCTACTCCCATCTTCTCGGTATGGAAAACCAAACAAAACAAAACATCGAAAAAGTACACACGCTGTAAGTACATCGCATTTGTACACACAAATTGCCAAGGAACAGTGAACGTTCAATCTATTTTTGCTTCCGGAGTCGTGCTGCCTTTTAGGCCAGCTTCTGTGTAGTTTCATTGAATACTCATCTTTTCGTAAGAGCGAGGAGTGACCTACGAATTGCTTTTATATTCATACAACGAATTACTATGTCATAACCCTTATCACGTATGATTTTGTATTGCCTGTTTTGAGATAACATTTTTCACACTGTAAAGCGTGGTTATCAGTGCCCACCGCGTGTGTTGTAAAAATTCCTATGACAATGAATGTGCCACCCGTCATACAACCAACATGGCGACATACGTCGGCGCCTTCTCCTCGTCTCGAAGCTTTATAAAGTTTCTATTGACGCCGGTAGTGCTACATTTTCCAACGCCGAATGTGTGTTTTATGGTGCCCCGTCGCTTTTCTCATCGGAGCAGCTTATATGAGCATGTTCGTGAAGGATATAGCGATAAGCCACAGCTGGACATGAGAGCAGTGTGTGATCAGACCGACAAAGTCATAGCTAATGTAGAGAGCAGGAAAGGCGAGCTGTGCGGGCAAGACGTCAAGGAAATTGTAAGTGGAACGGGAAAAAAAAATAACATTTTGGTGTTGTCTCCAGTTGCGTTTTCTAGAATTGTTGACATGCGTGTGTGTTTCTTTCAGGTGTGTGTGTGGCAGCAGCTCCAGGCAGTACGAAGGGAAATCTCTGAGCTGGAACAGCAGAAGCAGCATATTAGTGGAACGGTTAAAGGTTTAGTGGTCAGTAAAGATTTATGTAGTGATAGTGAGATGAAGCCTCACGAAGCATCGCATCAATTGAGCCACATGGTTCGAAAATGGTTCATTTCGCGTAGCTTCTTTGGCACGCGAAACCACCTGTTGGCCAGGTGTACAATCACAGGCAGCGGTATCTTATCCACATCGTCCCTATTTTAGAATATGCGAAGCTATCACGTAATGTGTGACATATTTTTATGTGTGTGTTTTGACTGTTGCAAATGGTTGGGAGTTACAAATTTTTTTAAAAAAAAAACCCGACCCAATTAAGTTCTCCACCACAAGTGTACATGCCTAGTACTATATTTATTCTCTGGGTAAAATTTCCCCAAATAGTAGTATTAGATGATATGGCAAGCTGTATAATGTTTTAAGTTTTTAAGGAGGTAGAGGACAGTGAAAGGTTTGTGAAACCAGGAGGAGCACACTGAAGAATTATTTTTACACAGTCAGAATTCTTAATAATCAGTTTAACACCTTAATCATATATATGTCCATCCCTGACTTGGACACAGTAATATATCTGCATTCTTGACCTGTAAGATACATGTTTGCATGCCTGTGTTCATGCACGTGTTTCTCTGGGAGCAAGAGCCAGAAACATGAATTTCACAACAGTCATCTGTTCTTAGGCAAAACACAGAAAGGAAGCCCTCGCCGATGTAAGTCAAATGTTGACAATAATTCTTTACAAATATTGAATGGATTAATTCCATTAGACTTTTGCTCCTAACATACATGCCTTCACCACACAGCTTCCGGAGTACAACCAGGCACTACTGAAAGGTCGAGAGGTCCGTAAAAGACTCAACCATCTCTATCCCCGAGAGACGCAACTGGATCAGAAACACTATAGCCAAGCACTTCGCCTGCCCAACACCACACACCCCGATGTTGTGAGAATTCACTGAAAGTCAGATGCGCCTAAGAGCTGTTTTATTCTCTATGTGGAGCATGATATTGTTGACATTTCAAACGTTTCCTCCTTAGCCCATTGGAGATGAGAGCCAAGCAAAGATAGTGGAGTTGGTTGGCCAGAAACCCGGTCAGTGTTGTGAGCCGCTTTGATTATTAAATGCATTCTTTACATCCATGTGTGGTATAGTAAAAATAATTTTTCTTTCTTGAAGAATTTGACTTTAAGCCCAGAGGCCATGTTGAACTGGGGGAGCAGTTGGGTGGCCTCATCAGGCAGAGGTGATGATGACTCTTTTTGTGCTGTCGTATCGATCAGATGTCTTTTTCTTGATTGACCATGTGAGCTGGTAGCAGCAATGACATTTACATTTGGAATGAATATGGTTGTACCTTTTTAAATGATGAATCAGCCGTGTACATTTGCCTGAGTACACATCTTTGCTCTGCTTCAGGCATCTTGCTCATGTCTCAGGTCACAGATCTTACTATCTGTGGGGGGCAGGGGCCAGACTTCAGACTGCACTCCAAAACTTTGCACTCGACACACTGCAACGCCGTGTAAGCTGCTGAATGATTCGCTATTGGTAAAACAAATTTGTATGGCCTAAACCTGTGTATTTATTATATGTAAATATTTTTGTTGGCTCTAACAGGGTTTCATTCCCTTGGTTGTACCTGACATGCTGAAGAGTGCAGTGTTTGTAAGTAGCATACTCACTATTTTTGGTCTGTGTGTTATTTGGACTGCATGACACATTTATTAATTAATTTTATAAAAATGCACACGATTGAAACAAACAAAGAAAACCATAACTGTAAACAATTGCATTATTAAAAGAAGCAGGAAAGCTGCCTCTATAATCAAAATCAAAATGGAATATTAACCGGACTAATGTCATTCAGAACACATACTGTATTTTTTTTCAGCTAGGGTATTGATTGACAATGTCAAAGTAACTTCTGATAAAAGGATGTCTCATCCATTGTCTTGTCTGCAGGAGGGATGTGGCATGCAGCCCAACGCCCATCGCTCTCAGGTCTACTCACTGGACCCGGATCGTTTCCCAGACTTAAACCTGGCTGGGACTGGAGAAGTCGGAGTGGCAGGTCTTTCTGACTATTTTATACATACTGTATTTTCCCTCTAGAAATAACTGAACTTTAAGGTTGCTTACCAGCACTACTGCATTTTTGCTCATTACAGTTTTTGATTTGTTGATGATACTTGCGTATAAACAGGGGTCCTTGGCTCTGAGTTAGCGACATATGGCATTTCACGGTTGCGACTGGCACGCAATGAACTAGTTTGCAGAGCAGCGTAAGAATACGTCGTCACGTGGCGTAAGAGGCACGCTCAATTACTACCGTACTTACTCTTTTTCATTTCACTGGTTTATATAAATGGCCTAGAAATGAGATTCATCATGTTGACTTTGAATGGGCATTCGAGGGAACGAACTAATTTTGCACATGCTCAATGTTTGATTTCTCTCCGCCCCAGGTTATTTCATGGATCATGCAGTTAATTTGAAGGACATGCCCGTCAGGTAACAACTGCTCCCTCACTCCCCGTCAAATGGTGGTGTTTGAAATATTAGTAGCTGACATGCTTTGCCGCCTCCTGCTTCAGGACAGTATGCAGCAGTACATGTTACAGAGCAGAGACAGACACAGGTAGAGAGACCTGGGGCCTCTATAGAGTTCATCATTTCAATAAGGTAAGTACAGACTTAGTCAGTTGCTACATTAGCAACCCGTACAATCAAATGACTGTAAATCCAGTGCTAAAGCTGTGGAAAAAAAAAAATCACCCCATTCCAAAAGTACTGTAAACTTGCTTTTGATCAACACTATCTTGTCTTGATTGCTTAGAGACAAGCATGACCACAAACCTCAATCAGTTGAGCAAATGTTTGGCAGATTTAATAGTAGCACGATTACTCAACAGATTCAAACTTAAATGCATCCAATTTGATTTTTGGGATGTTGCATTTATCCTACGGATTTACTTGATGTGTTAAACATAAATTAAAAACAGAATACAATAATTTGCAAATCATGTTTAACCTATAAATTAATTGAATACACAACAAAGTTATGATATTTAATGTTCAAGCTAATAAAAATGGATTGTTTGGGGCAAATAATCATTCACTTTTATGGCTGTTCCAAAAATATGGGATGGGTGGCCAAAAAGACTGCTCATCAATCACCTGTTTGGAACATCCCACAGGTGAACAGGCCAACTGGGAACAAGTGGGGGTTCCATGATTGGGTACACAAGCAGCTTGCCTGAATTGCTCAGTCATTCACAAACAAATATGGGGTGAGGTTCACCTCTTTGTGAGAAACTGCGTGAGAAACTAGTGGAACAGTTTAAGGACGATGTTCCTTGACGTACATTTGCAAGGACTTTAGGGATTCCATCATCTTTGGTCCATAATATCATCCAAAGGTTCAGAGAATCTAGAGAAATCACTGCATGGAAGTGGCTCGGCAAAAGCCATTTATCAACAACACCAGAAACGCCTGCTACTCTGGGCCCGAGCTCCTCTACGATGGACTGATGCAAAGTGGAAAAGTGGTCTGACGAGTCCACACTTCAAATTGTTTTGGGAAATTATGGATGTCATGTCTAGAATGGCCTGCCAGCAGTCCAGACCCGCCTCCCATGGAAAATGTGTGCCGCATTATGAGGTGTAAAACAGAGACCCTAGACATCTGAAGCTGTGCATCAAGTAACAATTGGAAAAAAAATCCACCTACAAAGCCTAAATAATTAGTGTGCTCAGTTCCCAAACATTTATTGAATGGTGTTACAGTAAAAGAAAAGATGATGCAAGACATTGGTAAACATGACCTTGTCCCAGTTTTTTAGGAATGTATTTCAGCCATAAAATGAAGTTGATGATTATCTGCTAAAAACAAGAACATTTATCAGTTTGAATATCTCGTCTTGGTAGAGTATTACATTAAGTATAGGTTGAACATATTTTGCAAATCGCTCTATTCTGTTTGGACAACTTCATTCGGATTGTCTTTGAGATGGATTGGCATAGTAGATAGACTTTATTAATCTTGAAAGGGATTTAATTTGTCAAAGCAGGTACTAAAGTACGGCACTCGCTTCAAAATTGTATAAGTGGAGCGATATAGCAAAGTAAGAATTCAATTGCTCAGTGCGACCATTGTTTTTTGTGTGCATATGACAAATAATGAGTTTAAAATTGTGTTATTTCTGTGTCTAGGTCGAGATGTTTGGAGTGACAGCAAATGAGACAGGTGAGGAGAGTGCTCAGCTCCTAGAAGAGTTCGTCTCCTTGCAAAAAGAGATATTTTCTGCCTTGGAGCTACACTACAGGTCAGAAAAGGCACACAATAAAATCCTGCAACGTATCGTTGATCACAGATTTCTTTGTGTAATTGGGAGTGTTTTTTTCTAGAGTGTTGGACATGCCAACACAGGAGTTGGGTCCTCCAGCCTACAGAAAGTATGACATTGAAGCCTGGATGCCCGGGCGGAACAGTTATGGCGAGGTCAGTAACATAATACACTGTTATTACTGCCATTATTATTATACAGCGCATATGGTGATCTAATTTCCTTGTTTATACAAGAAAGCAACCACCTGAACTGAAATTAGGCAGTATATAATGTGCTTGCCCATTGTAATAGTTTTCACAGCATTGCAATCAAACTGATGCCTTTCAGATTTCTAGTGGTTCGAACTGTACTGACTACCAGAGCAGACGCCTCAACATCCTGTATGAGAGAGACGATGGGAGCCTGCAGTATGCGCACACAGTAAGACTGCAGATTAGACTCTCTGGTGTTTCTCCTGCTGATTTAGCACCCAGCAAACCTGCTTGCTGTGTGTGTTGTTTTTAGGTGAATGCCACAGCATGCGCCATCCCCAGAACAATCATTGCCATACTAGAGACTCACCAAACCAAGGTAAGATTTAACAGCTTAAGATTGAAGATACTTGCGTCGGAAAATCTATGTATACCAACTGCCCTTTCTATGCAAAGTTAAATCTTGAGGTAACGTCAAATTCATTCAAATGTCATGCAGAATTCCCTCTGCAGTCAATAAAGTAGTTCCTGAACAAGCCTAACCTCAAAGCATCTTTACTCAATGCATTAAAATACTGCAGGGGGAGCTGCTGGTCTCAACATGCTATTCTGATCAATGTTGCATTAGTGAAATAAGAGCTGAGCAGAAAAATCCACCCGTTTTTAACCTCCTCAAGGGGCAATGATTTTGCCACTTTCTGTCAAAATGCCATCAGTTGCTCAGGTAACAACCAATCATGGCTCAGCTTCAGAAGACAGGCGACCCATGATTGATCATTACCTGAGCCCTGAAAAACTGGGAAGTCATTTTCAGTTGACAAAGTGGCAAATTGGCCGCCCCCTGCGATGGCTAAAAACGGGTTGATTTTGCTGCTTAATTTATATTCTACAACCACGAAATCAATCAAATGATGTGTTAAGACTAGTAGAGGCACATCAAACGTTACTGTAAAGGAAATGTTTGGGCTTGACTTTAAGCATATAGATCCTCCATGTTGTCCTTACTGCTAAGAATGACATGTATACTATCAGTGGCCAGTTACATACATCCAGGGTCTCAGTTATAATCAGATTCTTCTGGGGTCATTAATTAGTGTTTTATGAACATATTAAATAATCCTGCGAATACATTCAATGATGGTACACTCAGGAATATGGAACCCATGGTCAACAATGTTTTACTAACTAGGAGTTGAGCCTGTATCCCTAATTATATGAGGGTAAAACAGTTTAGATACATGATCACAATTTCTATATTTCTGTACCCACAGGAAGGATCAGTCCTCGTCCCCAGAGCCTTGCAACCATATTTGGGTCTTGAAATAATTGAGAAGCCAAAGTACATTCCTCTGAAATACATTGGTCCCAACCAGCCGAGCCGCCCGCCCAGGCCTTCTCCCACAATTACGTGACGTCGGCGTTGGGAAGAATGTGTTATTATAAAGTATTGCAGTGAGAATAATGATCACTTCCTGTAATGCGGTATCTCAGTGATGTATTTTACAATTCACCTCAAGCATCTCTTTTTTTTTCTGAGTGTGCCCTTTTCAGGACCGGTATGAATTTTATTTTCATACAGCATTCCATTAACTTAGTCGGCACATATTGTTCCGCTTTGCTGTGTCTTGTGCTTCTAAGGCCCCACCTTCCTGCATGGTCTGTACAGTCAGACTGGTCATTGGCTGGAATTTCAGTCACTTCAGCATCAGTGGACAAACAGCAGTATAATACAATACAGTAAAATATGTAATATAAATCATCCCCTTGACTGATCATGTCACTCAGTGTGTGTACATGTTAATCATTTGACAGAACAGCAAGGATTACGGTACCTTCCAGGACAGTTTACAACATCATAATGCTTAGCCAAAGTGTTTTTATTCTCCATATATTTTTTTAAGACTTAAACATGGAATTATAGGAACTGAGAATTGTTTGTCTGTAAAATGTCTTCTAATAGTTGGCTACAGCAAAAAATATTTGAAAGGCACATGAATATTGTACTTATTTAAAAATGGCAGCAACTATTAATGAGTAATATCCAAGACTGGATGACAGTGATGGCTGGTTCACATTTATCATGATGAATGTTTTGCATTTACCGTCTGTTGTGGTGAGCTGTGCATTTGGTGTCTGGGTCTTCAGTGGATTCTTTACTGACTTTAATCCACCATGTACCTTAGCATGTTGCAGTTATAGAAACTATCAGTACTGTACTACACAGAAATGCAAGACAGCAGCACACAACTGTCATGTACATCATCTGGTGCAATTCAAAATGACCATTCATCTGATATGATAAAACCATAAAACTTTTAAATAAAACATACTCACCACAGATGTTGGTTTTCAATTGTAAGAATATATGAGAAAGGCTGCAAATCTGTTTTGCTGTTAGGTGTAACAAGTTTTGCTCTGATCAAGCAGACAAAAATAGTCGACGCCGGCTGACCCTGCAAGGATGAGTTTGAAATCTGATTAGTTAAATAAATGCTTCAATCCCATTGCAAATATTTTAAGTTACTTTAGCCAACAGAACTGATTCTGAAGGTTAAATTGATCTTGGAGTGTGCACATAGTGACCGAAATTTGATAGGAGAAAAACTACCGTATGCACTATTGGAAACAGTGCAGCCAAGAGAGCCACTAATGAAATTATGCGAATGGATTTGGAAATCAATACAATTTCATGGAACAAATATTTGAGTGAAGGTCGTACATTTGGGTCGATGTTATTTGTCTTGGCCATCAGAGAGCGAGTATCGTCTTCGTCAACAAAGTGCTGTTATACATCATAAACGTATACGAGTGAGCGCTGTCTGCCTGTAGGGGGCACCAGAGCTCAACAGCACGTACCTGACATTCTAAGTACGTACAGTACTGCATTTACATCCTCACTGAGGGAAAAGAGAACATGAGCAAAATACCTGCAGTCATAACATTTGAATACAAGTTTGTTTTACATAACAATGACGGTGAATATTCAGATAGCAGTCAATTAGACTCTGGAGTTAGTCTATAAGCCATGTTCCATTTGATTTATTGACAAAGTACAGGTTACAAGATTTAGGATTTAGGATTGAGGCCGCCGACGTCACTTGACCCAACACAAACGCACGCGCGTACACGCCGCTGTGCTGTGCAGCCTCTGCTCAGTTGCTCTCTCCTCTGCGACGGTGTTACGTATGTCTAGTGTGTGATGACTGGCACCCACATCCAGCCCGCGGTTTGAAGGATATCTCCTGGAAGGAACGTCTTTTTGAGGTCCTATGGGAGTTCTGACAGCCGCAGTTTGTCTGTTGGCAGCCGTGGGAGGTCAGTGTTGGTCATATTTCGCTGTTTTTCCACTTTGTCGGACACATGTAGCGTGAATTAAAGCTGAAAATGTCTGAATGGTGACTGCATCGTTCCCGTATAAGACCGAGCGTGCTCAATAATAAAATTACCTGTATGTGTCATTTGTTATATGGCTGTCTTTTAGCCACTGAGGCGTTACTACCAGTCTTAAATATTTATATTTTGAGATGGAATGAGATTGGGCTCAAATTCGCCTTTTTGCATTAAGCAGAGAAGAGAAGGACACCATGTGGGCGCTGCTATAAATTCGTCCGAGCGTGTGCAGCCTTTAGTGTTGGTGTGTGTGTATATGGCAAGCCCTCGCAGTATCATTCGATATTTTTGATATCCAACGTATTAGGTCCATGCAGTGGCGGTCCTAACTCGAATTGCACTTTGTGTAGAATCCCTATTTAAGCCGTCCACAACGCCAAAGCTATTACGTACGCACACACAAACACGCACAGAAATTGTGTGGGAATGCTGAATAAAATTATGGAAACGTGGAATGACATTAAAAGATATGGAATTATGTGGAATGATTTGAAATGATTATTGAATAGATGTGGAATGACATTGGAAAGATGGAATGATATTGAATGATCTTACTCAGAATCATTTTTATTTGCCAAATGTGTAAACGCATGTGAGGAATTTGGCTCTCGTAGTTTGAGCTACACTGGTATAAAAACAAAGAACAATAAAAAATACTGGTATATAAAAAAAAAGATGTGGAATGGTGTTGGTGAAATATGTGAACTCAATGGTGAAAATAATTTATTTCAACAATTTCATCACCAAACCTCATTCATTTGGCTTGTGTTATATGCATTTAGGAAAAACAATTTTACAGACACGACATGTCATTAAACAATAGAAAACAATTTCATGTCAGTTTTTTTTTTTTTTGGTCATCTTATTTTGAGGAACATTGCAACAACCGCTCCGGTTTCCTCCCACGTTCCAAAAACATGCATGGCGGGCTGATTGAACACACGAAATTGTCCCTAGGTGTGTGTGTGAGCGCGCATGGTTGTTCATCTCTGTGTGCCCTGCGATTGGCTGGCAACCGGTTCAGGGTGTCCCCCACCTACTGCCCGATGACGGCTGGGATAGGCTCCAGCTCCCCCCGCGACCCTAGTGTGGATTAAGCGGTTCGGAAAATGGATGGATTGCAACCATTTTAGAAAAATGTTAGTTTTATCAAAAATGAAATAAAGACAACCTTTGTGACTAAACATAATTACAGTAATCCCTCATTTTCTGTAATTAATGGGAACCAGAACCCCCCCGAAAGGTGAAAAACCGCAAAGTAGGATTTACCCCTCTCTAAGAATTTTCGTTTTGTGTATGTGGGTACCAGCATGTTGAAAATTTATAAAGAGTTTTATTGCATATTTGAGACAGGGCAGGACAGTGGTCAACTAGTTAACGCGTCAGCCTCAGTGTGCGGAGGGGCAGGGTTTGATTCCGGCCTTACTGTGTGCAGTTTGCATGTTCTCCCCGGGCCTGCGTGGGTTTTCTCCGGGTACTCGGGTTTCCTCCCACATCCCAAAAACATGCATGGCGGGCTGATTGAACACACGAAATTGTCCCTAGGTGTGTGTGTGTGAGCGCGCATGGTTGTTCATCTCTGTGTGCCCTGCGATTGGCTGGCAACCGGTTCAGGGTGTCCCCCACCTACTGCCCGATGACGGCTGGGATAGGCTCCAGCTCCCCCCGCGACCCTAGTGTGGATTAAGCGGTTCGGAAAATGGATGGATTGCAACAACCAAAACCCCCAGCCATGCCGCCCTGTGCAGCAAGACATACTGCTCATGTCAGAAACCGCCTGCAGGTCCATAAACTCTCTTTGTCCTCACGAGCAAGACATTTGTCAGAGACTAAATCAATGCAGAACATATTTCGAGCCTTACACTAGAGAATGCAAGTGCTTCTCCTAATGCACTAAATTGACTCACTAGTGAAGACAAAGAGGGCACTAGTAGTTCATGGACCTTAAAATGGGTATCAAGGATTTTGGGATAAGTGCTCAAATGTCTTTTCCCAGTGGGACAAATCCTGCTCCTGGGAGAACAAGCTGACATGGCTGGTACCAACTAGGGAACATTGGTACCAGCCGTTGGCAACTGTTTGCAGGTTTATGCTTTTGTTGCAGTGTGTCACAAGGTAGCAATCATCGACTGGCGACCAATCCATGGTGTACCCCGCCTCTTGCCCAAAGTCATCTGGGATAGGCTTTCTGATTAATTAATGTTAATGTATATCACATAGTTCTTATAGTGCTGCTTTTGTTATAATTAATTTAATGTGTGTCAGACTTATTGATCTTTCCACCTTGTTAGATTTTCTAACAGCCTAGGGTGTGTGAGTGTCATTTGCATATTTTTTCCTCTTTTGCCTCTGGGATTTTGCCCATATGAACTTTAACCAAAGCTTATTGAAATCAATCAAGGCCAAAATTACGGCATAGTCGACAAGATGAACCTGTCTTTTCTGATTCAGAAATTGGAAAATAATTCTGCTGATATTTTCCTTTTCTGATCTGTGTTGAGAAAGTCAAAACACATTACGTCCAACCATCTACAGCATCGACTGACATTTAGCTTGGAGGGTAGTGCTGCACTGCTTAGGTTACCTTTAATGATATAATGGCAGAAAGGGATTGGAGACAGATTTAGCCTCAGATGGAAACTACCTGCAGGCTTGTGCCTCTGGGGACAGTGTTTGCGCTTGTGTGTTATTGTGACTGTGTGAGCATGAGAGAGATGTAAGCTTCTTTGCTCTGCCACTTCACCAAGGGAACAGTGATTAGTTGGTAACAAGTCCTCCCTCACTGACAGCATCACACTCTGCTTGTTTTTTTGTTTTTCTTTATTAGTTTGCCATTGTGACAGAAATATAAAATATGATTACTCTAATTGTCTTTTTTTTTTTTTGGCTCCAGTGGGGTGTCGGCCAGTAATCTCACCACTCAATGATGCAAAGGTCAGAGTTGAGTCTATTTTTATATTCTTTTTCTCCTCTGTGATATTTACTGAATCTTCCTTATTTACTCCACTGACATTTTTTTTTTTTTTGTGAAGGTTGAATGTATCATTCAAGAAACTCTGAATGGGGATGGGTCGCAACATGAGTGTGACCCTCAGCTAGCAGGTGATATCTGTAATTGACATTCACATAGTCTGTGATCAAATATCCAGATACAGTCATACCTCGGTTTTCGACCATAATCCGTTCCAGAAGGCTGTTCGAAAACCGATTTGTTCGAAAACCGAAACCACGCTCTTTTTCAAAAAAAAATCTTTATTGAACACGTCTGCTCACCATGGAACGCTAAACGAGGAAGCGTCACTTCCTCATCTAGCCAAGGAAGCTTCACTTCCTCGTGTAAGGAAGGCGAGAGGAGTCAAGTGACGCATTCAAGTGTGCTCAGTTTGTTCGAGAACCGAAATTCGGTCGTCATCCGAGGCATAAAAAAACTAGAAATTTTTGGTCGAAAAAAACCGATTTGGTCGAGAACAGAGACGTTCGAAAACCGAGGTTTGACTGTACTATATGATATTCACTCTGCTATATTATCATTATTGTCATTTCTTCATGCTTTTGTCTGTAAGCAACATTTGACATCCTCAATAGCCATACAAGTATCGTACATTAAAATAATTAAATACCATTTAAATGCTCTAAATGATCAATGAGGAGGACATTTTTCTTGTTTGACAGATACACCTTTTGCATCTCACGATTGAACAAACGGTAACCCATGTGTCAAATGAAATTAACCCTTGAAACAACAACGAGCTTTATGTATAGGAATAGTTGTTACGATTGTATTTAATATTGTGTTCTGTTGTATTATTGTTATTTTATGTTAAATGTTCTGCAAAGCGCTTTGCTACAGCTGTAGCTGTTGTGAAAGTGTGATATAAATTAAGATGTATTGTAATAATTTTCTGCGTGCCAGTTTTTTCCTATTTAGGGTCGCCCTTAAACTGTAATCGACTACTAATATCGTGTGTTGAACTAAACGATTGCACAACGCTCATAACCTCAAATCCCTTTATGTCGGCGCCAGCCTACATGAGCATGCCCTGCATTTGAATTTTGAGGTTGCACTGACATGATTTGCTGGTGGCAACTTAGTTTCGTGATGCTGTTGTCTGTCTTTGATTTGATGATGTGAAATGTCTACTTTTCTGCAGCGGAACTTGATGAAGTACAAAGACACCAGGATCTTCTCGGGGAGCTGCAGAGGCTGGCTGATGAAGGTACGCAGTGATTCTCTCATTCCTATTATTTGTCCTTTCTCAACAAAATATGCAGTAAAATCCCCACTTATTGCAGGGAATATGTTCCTGACCCATCCCCGGTGTAAAGACCATATAAAAAGACACTTTTCATCATTTTACCTCCTCCACACACTTTAAACACATTTAAACATGTTAAAACACCCGTTAACTTATTAAAGCACACTTTTCCAGTGTTCCTTAGCACTTGTTCTCACTCCTTTGCTGTCAAGAAACGGGAGACTATTGTAGAACATCACTTTGAGGGAATGAAAAGAAGGCTCTTTCACAATTAGGGGGCAAAGCGTCTTTGCTTCAAGCTATTTGTCACTCCTGGCTGAAGTTTAATGTCTCATCAAATATAATGTGAATTGCCATGGACGGGCTATCGGACATGAACATAAATGTCACGGTAACTGTAAATTTTCAAATCACTGCTATTTTTGCACACACGGAGCAGTAACACATACAAACGGAGCCTACAAAATGACACACAGGCATTTTTTTCTCTCTGCTCAATGGGAGCAATGACTGTTACTGCAGCGTAGTTGGGAAGCGTCTAAGGTCCATATCAGGATGCTGCAGCTCACTGTGGTAAAAAACTGAAAGCGCACATATTCAGCCTTGCCTGTATATAGTAAAAATCCAGAAAAAAACAAATCGCTTAAAAATCAGCGATTGAGCATAGGGCACCAAAGATTAATAACCATGATATAGCGGGGGTTCACTATCATGATATTTCTCCAGCTATTGTGTACAAATTGAAATGAGGTATGTTGTTGCTGACCATTGCAGAGAGAGAGCGGTATGAGTATAACCTAGCTGATGAAGAGGGTGATTTGGAGTCGAAGGATGACGACAGCGATGCGACCAAAACAACAGTGGAAGACGATCCCAAGAAGAGGGAGATGAATGAGCCAAAGATCGATGATACAGGGATCCACGATGACGAGGAGAGAGCTAAGGAGCTCGAGGAGCTGCTAGCTGAAGAGATCAGCAAGAAGGAAAAGGAGGAGAGGAATGATGACGAGCTCAAAGAGCTGCTGAGAGAGTTGAAGAAAAAGCGTTACGAGATGAAGGAAACAGGGAGCCCAAAAAGCCAGTGGTCAGAAAATGGTCAGGAGGAGGATGACACTAAGCAAAAGGCGGCAAGAGACAAAGAGGAAGCTCAGCAGGAGAGTGTTGACGATCACAGGAAGGATGAGTTAGAGCTGAGTGTGGAGAAGGAAAAGGTGGAGAAGGAGCTGAAGGAGCTGACGCGCAAGAATAGGCCAGAGGAGGAGAGTGCAAGAAAGGAGAAACGGGAGGAGCTGGACGAGCTGGTTAAGAAGATGCAACGAGTGCAGGACGAGGCGCGAGCACAGGCGGGAGGCAATGGTGCGGACCAGAGCAAGCGCGAGGAGGATGAGGATGATGAAAGAGGAGGTAACAATGGTGGAGGTGAGAATGACGCGAGTAGCAAAGAGGGAGCGGTGGAGGTGAAGGAGCCACAGCAGAAGAGAGTGATGGAGAAAGCCAGCGATGAGGCCACTCGCCAGTTTGAGAGAGAGAGGTTCAAGGACCAGGAAGAGGATGACGATGAGCCACATGGGGAGGATGAGGAAGATGAGGATGAGTACATCAGAGAGGATGAAGATGATGATGAAGGTGGTTTAGACGATGAAGAAGGCGAGGTATGTCAAAGAAACAATATGCTGTTATTTTATCTTAAAATTAACGTCATAATCATTTCCATGGTGGTTCCTGGAGTTAAAAGTCAATCGCCTGGTGACTTTTTTTTGTTTTTTTGCTACATGTTCCGTGCTAAAATGAGTTTTAATGAACACTGCGATTGGCTGGCAACCAGTTCAGGGTGTCCCCCGCCTACTGCCCCAACTCAGCTGGGATGGGCTCCAGCACGCCCGCCACCTTTGTGAGTCCAAGACTTTGTTGCATCGCCACGGTGACTGTGCTAAAGTCAGTCTTTCAAGGTATTTTAGTATGAATCAACTGATAAAGTAATTGATTAGTTATTTCATTGATTGATTGGTTCACTAATAAATTTGTTAATTGATTAAAAAATTATTATTAATTTGTCATGAGGGTGGCCCGGTGGTCCAGTGATTAACACATCGACCTCACAGTGCAGAGGTACCGGGTTCAATCCCAGCTCCAGCCTCCCTGTGTGGAGTTTGCATGTTCTCCCCGGGCCTGCGTGGGTTTTCTCCGGGTACTCCGGTTTCCTCCCACATTCCAAAAACATGCACGGCAGGCTGATTGAACACTCCAAATTGTCCTGAGGGGTGAGTGTGAGCTCGGATGGTTGTTCGTCTATGTGTGCCCTGCGATTGGCTGACAACCAGTTCAGGGTGTGTTCCGCCTACTGCCCGAGGACAGCTGGAATAGGCTCCAGCACCCCCCTTGTGGGGATAAAGCGGATAGGAATATGAAATCAATGAATTTGTCATGATTTACCGTTTTCATTGTGTTTATTGTATGACTGATTTCTCCTACATGTATACACTTTGCATGCAGCAAAGGTTGTTTTAAAGTGTGATATAATTCAGGTGAGTTGAGTTCAGCGAGCAGCTTGATAGTCAACAGTTTATTTCGACAGTTCCATATGCAAAATTGTCATGCGAATGTGCGCAAACGGCTCTCAGGGGGAACTAATTATCTGCGCCACAGAATCACCTTTATTATAATCTTGCCCTAGACGGTGGTCACTGGGGTGGCTGGAGAGCAACCAATGGTCACCCCGTAGCTGCGCCTCTGAGCACACTATCTTCTTGTCAGTTCATTGTCAAGAACTTGATGTTATCCAAAACTGTTTCTTTTAATGTGCTAAATGTTTCCACTCCAAGTGAGGACTTTAACGGGAAACTTTACAGCATAAGTGGGTGCCGTTTTTCTCTCCTTTCCATCTGCAGGAGCTGCTGGAGATCGAAGCCCAGTTACGCAAAGTTGCCGCAGAGCTGAGAGAGCTGCGGAGAGGATAACCACCCACCCACACACACACACACACACACACACACACACACACACACACACACACACACACACACACACACACACACACAGTTGCCCTTGGTTGCATTCTCATTCAAACATTCGGCTCCCCTGATTCCCATTAACAGCCTCGTTGTCTCTTCTTTGGATGCAAAATGATTTTTGCTACTTTCCTACAGTTTTTTTCATCACTGTTAACAAAATGCTAATTTTAGTTCTGGTGCTCAAGGCGCCTCTCTGAATCCATGCTAAGTGGGCTTGTCACCATCACCTGTAAATGTTTAATTGACAAGTGGAATCAGTTGTGAACTGCCACAGATGCAAGCATTCAGCATTTTTATTTTAATGCCATTTTTACCTAGAAACTTTACATCCACACGCCACACAGCATTTTTGGGTGCTGAGTCATTAAAAACAGGCACACAGTGCTTCTTGTCTCAGAAATGACAACAGATTCTCTATAAGCAATGTGAGTGTCTCAATATCTGTTTTGTGCAATTAGCGAGAGCTACATGTAAAGTGTTATGACTGTTATGTATAACTGATATTTCTACCCAAGGGTAAATATTCATTCTTTCAAGAAATAACAATTGCTTCATTAGGCTCGTGTACTGTTAAAATCAGACTGTTTGTGATGAACGAGGGTGACACGAACAAAACACAAATGGATCTTGTACGGCGATACGTATGTCAGGTGTTGCACGTGGCGTGTGGATGTACACGCCGTGTAGGTTGGCGTACAGTCGATGGGAAATGATGTACTTAGAGCTTACAAGGTCTCAACGTGTCACTTGAGGTTCAGGACAGCTTTGCACTCTTAATAAGCCAAGGACGAGGCAGGGACGAGGAAGACACTAAAGCCATTTTCTTGTCTTTTGGAACACTAACGCTGAAAATAACCGCTGGACTGTAATCGCTCGGTGGTGTGGCACCACGTTTGCAGTGGTTGCTGTCTTTTTTTTTTTTTTGTGCTCGTGTAAATGTCATTGCGCCAAGGTCATACAAAGTAAAAAGCAAAAGCGCCCCCAAGAGGGTGTTGGTGGTCTTTTTTTTTTTTTTTTGTGCTCGTGTAAATGTCATTGCGCCAAGGTCATACAAAGTAAAAAGCAAAAGCGCCCCCAAGAGGTCACTGCGTCAAATTGCACATGGTACACCTTTAACAGGGTTAGCAAGCAACTCAGTTAACTGCAATAATGCAATATTCACTGCGGCACACATGAATGCAATAATGAATATTAAACGAGTAAGACAATACATACAACAGGTATTTTAATACGCCATTAAAGTGCACATATAGTAGTCATTTATTAAATATGTTCTCTCTTTTTTTGTTCTCTATACAGCCAAGAATTGCAATCGGATGTGAACACATAAATAATCGTTAACACTAAAAATATTAGTACGACCCTTTCCAAAGATGATTGCTCGTTTCATAATTGAACAACGGTTACTGTACTTTAAAGTTGTTTCTTGTACATATGTGTAAGATGTATCAACCAGCAAGGTAGATGAAGAGATACGTCTGGAGGAGAATGATATTGAGGACATTTCAAAACCATTTAAAAATACTGTAGTAACAATATTTGTAATATTACTGGCCAATATAATGCTGTATTTTGTGCCTGCTTTGTCTTCGATGCTACTCATTAATCAATAAAAGTATATGAAACACGTTTTCTGCCAATTGTTTCTGGTGTCATTAGAGTAACGGCACACGAAATAAAAACGGAGTCAATTCAGATGTTTTTATTTGAATGAAATGACTGATTGTTGAATTACATCGTGTCTCTTCCCATAGTGGAAGTTGCCCCTTGGTGTTTGGTCATTTGGTCAGGAGAGCCAGCAGAAGAAGCTTGTTTGTCCAACACTGACTCAATGAGGGTGAGCAGAGAAGAGAAAAACTGGGGCACACCATCATAACCTGACAGAAGACAAGAACACTTTGGACTATCTGGCTGTGTCGTGTGTGTGTGTGTGTGTGTGTGTGTGTGGTCATAACCTGACAGAAGAACAAGAACACTTTGGACTATCTGGCTGTGCGTGTGCGTGTGTGTGTGTGTGTGTGTGTGTGTGTGTGTGTGTGTGTGTGTGTGTGTGTGTGTGTGTGTGTGTGAGTGAGAATAGCTGTGTTCACCTGGAAAAACGTTGATATCAATGACAGTGAGGGTGTATGTCTGTGTATTGATGATGACATCCACTCCAAACAGGGCCATGCCCAGCTGAACCCGTAGCTCTCGGACCAGTGCGGCAACAGCCTCCGTGCTGGGAGGAGGCAGGCAAGGTATTTGTTCATCCATCTTGGGGAAGGGAGACACGTTTTCAGTGAGTTTGAGATGGGTGTTCTTTTTCACAAAAATTGCAAATTGTTGGTTGATCCCAATCCAGTTTGAAAATCAGGAATTACCACTTCACAAATCGCACCTCTTTCACTGAGTTTTTAATTGATGATTATTGGTTTAAAAAAAAAAACCTGAAGGATCCTTAGAACTTTTCATTGAAAAATATCATTCAATACTCACAGCTGTGAGATCAGAACTTGACTCTGGTTTGGATACTTGCTGACTGTTAAAGAAGATGGTCTTTCTGTCTGCAGGCAGAGACAAACCACAGCTGCAGTGTGTACAGCAGGGGTGTCAAACTCATTTTTGTCGCGGGCCACATTGTAGTTATGGTTTCCCTTGGAGGGCCGTTATGAATTTCGGGAAACCACATAAATGTTTAATCCGCTCCACATATTACATACACAGCGCACAACAAATGGATGAATAACTAGTTTTCAAATCAGAAGTCAAGAATAGTGACTGTTGTAGTGGATTACATATGACAATTTGACATTTTGGTTCAGACTTCAGCAAGCATCATGAAACTTGACATGCTTGATTTGCCTTCGCGGGCCACACAAAATGTGTGGCGGGCCAGATCTGGCCCCCGGCCCTTGACTTTGACACCTGTGGTGTACAGTGAACAAACAAAACAGAAAATGAGAAAAGAAATGAGCTAGCATTAGCAGATCAGTAGAATAGGATATTGGTTTAGGGTAGGGAGAATTAATCATTGAATGAGACCGTGGATAGAAAAGTGAAAGACAGGAAGGGGACTTATTGCATTTTTTGACTGACCACATGGCCCGGTGGGGAAGTTCTTGAGTGAGGGCCTCTCCACACAGAAGTGTCTTTCTCCGACTACAAACACCTTGTGCAGCACGGCTCCGTGGTTGACAAAGCTCTGAAGAACGCATGGAGGCTGGATCTCCGACAGACTTGCCTCACTGAAGATCAGCGACATCTATGCACCCAGCAAATGGACGACGACGCACGATGACTGACAAAAGGCAGAAGGTGTGCAAACAAAAACACCCTGACTGCACTTACCTCATGGGAAAGAGAACCGTGGGCTACTCTCGTTTTACAAACTGTCCAACAGAGAGCAAAATGTTGGATGATGTTAACACAGGAAATCAGAAAGGAAAGTTGACGCACTCGCCTCGATCTGGATTATGACCATAATTAGCTGAGCTTCATCCTGCTTTTGTCTTTCCAATACGTATTTTTGATTTGATTGGATTGATTCTGTCCCGATATTTATGTTCATAAACTTGTCTCATAAACTTGTACTACTATGCAGATGCGTGTCAGTGACAATTGTTTTTTTTTTTTTTTCTTTTCACCTGAGACACAAATGAAACCAACAACGTTGCTCGCTTGCGGGTCATTTTAAAGCTCGTGGTTTATCAAATACAACAAAAACCAGTGAGCATCTAAAAGGCTTCTGAGAGCGAGGTAGAAAACTGACTGAGAGGGAAGCTCAGGTTCTGAGTCATCACTTTCTGCTGAACGGAAGGCATATCGCTTGCACTGTGGACCTCGAGGTATGGAGGACTGCAAATGTGCCAGTCTGTCAAACAAAACAGATGAAAACACAACAGAAGGCTTCACATCAACAATCCGGTGTTTACGGTACTGCTGAAATAGTTTTATGACGAAACATGAGACCTCGGAGTGAATTGTGCAGCTTGCTCATGATCCGGTAAGAGGTAAAGCGGTCTAGAATTTGGGTCATGGCAGGCAGGGGATCCAGAAGAACTATCTTGCTGTGTGCTGACACATAGCTCTGGAACATAACACGGGAGCACATTTTGCTTTCACATCCAGCAGGCTAAACGCAAAAGCTAAATTGCTGATTGTTTGTCTCCATAATCAATACTTGAAAGTCATACAAATTGCCTCCAAGTTCACCCCACATTTCATGTCTCTTCCCTGAAGCCGGTTCTCCTCTAGCTAACGCCTCCACCACTGGTTATTGACGGTCACCCCGCCTACACTGTCCGCAATATTATGGATCTACATCACAGCGGTCCCCGTTTTCGGTATTTAGTTGACTGGAAGGGCTACGGCCCCAAGGAACATTCCTGGGTCTCTAGGTCCCCATTCCTCAGCCTTCTGAAGTGAGGGTAGTGACTGTTGTAACTGTGATGGAGTTTGGCTCTTTGTGTCCTTTATTTGGTCACACAGGGCTGGGCTTGCTTTTCTCTATACAAGCTTGAGTTACTGAGTTTGTCAGAACGTTAAGCCTTCTATGCCCTGCTGCTTCCAGCCCCGCTCTCTGTTTTTTACTTTGAATTTCCACATCTACTTTCACTTTGCCATTTTCGTCTCCTTATCCTACCGTGACAGACTGTAGATGATGAAATCAGTGAATTCCTTTTCATTTGTACATTGAGATTTTTTTTTCTTCCAATGTTGAACTCCCTCTATTTATTTATACAGCTGTCTACAAAGTCGAGAACCTCGCCCCATCCTTGGTCATGAACAATTGAGCCTTTTGGAATGCTCCTTTTATACCCAATCATGACACTCACCTGTTTCCAGTTCATCTGTTTAGCTGTGGAATGTTCCAAATACTTGCTTTTAATATTGTGGCCATTATGTGTCTGGTAATGTAGAATGACTGATGAGGCTCTATTGCACATTGCATATTTGTTTTAACATTTAAACCAAACATGTGGTGCATTGTGGTTCTTTTTAGGTCCACCTGGAAGTCGACCAGGAGCTGCTTTGATTGTTTGTCATGCTCCGCCTCTACGATGACATCGGACAGCTTATGAACTATGACATCGAAGGGTCCTTGGGGCTCAAGTGGCTGAGTAAAATCAATCTGGAGAAGAAAAAGAAAACATTTGATTGTCTCTTTGTCCTTTATCTTGAATCTGCCCTCTTTCCACCTTACAGTAGCCTTGTCACAGGACATTGGCTTTATTGCATGGGCACACACGCATACACACAAACACACACACACACACACACACACACGTTAGGTAAATAAAATGAGAAAACGCCACAAACACTGCTAATGCTGCTTACAGGCTAACAGTTTTGTACCACAATTAAAGGGCCTTTTTTTTCATGACGCCTTCTCAAGGAAAATGCACAAGAAAGCTAACGGGAGGTGGTTGCAGATGGCTGTGACATGGATTACTAAAGTTGCAGACATCTGTATATGACACCTGTGGCTATACGTGCACACTGAAGTGGACTATTTAACCTTAACACAGTGCAACACAATCTGGAATGCATGTGCTTTGAAAATCACGCAGAGAAAGACAAATCTACCCATCTATACATGCATGCAACCCCTAAACACACACACAAACACACCCACACACACACACACACACACACTACCAAGGAAAATAGATGCAGACAATATGGAAATCCTGCATTCGCCACCAATCTTCAGTGGTGGGAAATTATGCCCCCCCCCCCTCCTCTTTACATAAGACTAAAACAATTACCTCCACCACCTCCACTCCATGGTCCCTGGATGAACGAAATGAATCGATTTAAATTCTATTCAAGAGTAACATTATTGTGATACAAAGAACCGTCATTGGTCCTCAAAATTGAATACTTTATATCCTTTCATTAATTCAGTAACTAATGACATTTTGCTCAGTCTCTGCGCTGAGTGGACCAACTTTGTGACCCAAATTTGACTCCAATTTGAATTAACAATAATCTAATGTGATTATGATTTAAAAAAAAAACATTAGCCATGAAACTTACGCACAGAACTCCGCAAAGCCATCCAGATTCATCCTGCGGCGTTTCTTATCACTGAGACAGAAGCCCACTCTGCAGCGTGACATTTGGCGTCCTTCTCTTGTGACCTTCTGATGAACAGTTAGGTTGGAGTGTCCACGCTCTTGTCCGTAACCACCACCCCACTGGCTCCACACTCTCACGCTCCCACCCACTACATCTCAAAAGAAGATTTCCTCAACTCTACTTTACAATCCTAAAATATCTTGTAATAATTTGGCAGGCAGAATGACAAACAAAGAAAAAGTGTTTTTTTTTGTGGTCGTTTGACTTTACCTCTTCATCTGGTGCCTCTTTGTATTTGGTCAAGATCAGCACGGTGCAGTAGTCTGAGGTTCAGGATTCAAATCTGAACGCCGGTCAATGTATGGACTTTACTTGTTCTCTTCGTTCTTCAGCAGGTTTTCTCCTCCCGTATTCCCAAAACATGCATTTTGGAAGACTCAGAATTGTCCACATGTGGAAATGTGATGTATCCCACTTCAACCTAGACCAATCAACCTGGATTTATGCTTCAGCTCACCACGACACTAATAACAATAAATTGGACAGGAAATTAATGAATGTTTAGTCATGAAAGGAGAGTATAAAGCGCCATCATGCATTCACGACACAGCCAGTGGTGGGAAGCAAGCGAATAAGTACAAATACTTCATCACTGGATGTAAACAATTTTTTAACTTACCAGACATCTGCTTTATATGAGTACCGGATATTTATTTTTCTGATGACTTTTTGCTCTCTACCTTTAGCTAGCGCTTTATAAATAAATAAATACATACATGTTTGCATTCTTTGTGCCGGGTTATCAATTTGCTATTGTATATACAGTACCATAATTGACAGTAAATATTCTTTTTAACTTTTATCAGGCAGTTCTTTTTTACCTTTTGTTGAGCAAAGAACTCACATCCGTATTTCTACTCTTACCAGTGTTTTTTTAATAGAAGTATTTATTCTTCTACATCCACTTCGAGTGTGTACTTTTGCCACCGCTGAATTTTTGAAGAATTGACAAAAATCGCATATTCAGTTTAGATTCATCTCTCCTTTTATTATTTAGAATTTTATCTGTGGTTTTATTATTCTTGTTTTGGTTGTAAAGTGTCCTTGAGTGTCTTGAAAGGCGCTTATAAATGAAATGTATTATTATTATTATCAAAACTCTTTTTAAGTCACACCAGCGTTTCTTTCGTTGAACAGGAGATGGCGCTAATGAGACATTTACCTCAAGTATAATCATGCCCTGTCCGGCTGAGCGGACTCTGTAGGTGCCTCAAACGACCTGTTGACAGCGTAGTTGGGTATTGGTTGTGACTATATACGGAGTCGTGGCTTCTGTGAGTATATCAGCTTTGCGTTCAGTCAAAATCGCCCAGATTTCACTCTTGAATCATAATAGTGTGAGACAAGATCATCATTATTTCAGTACCATATTCATACTTTTGTTTTTTGGTTTGTTGGTGTGCCGTGAGATTTTTCGAATGGAAAATGGATTCCTTGCCTCAATAAATTTTAGGAAATACCATGTGCTGCAATTCTATTTTTCTGCAGTTTGCAGAGCACAAACTAACTGCGTGTATATTTTGACTCCCGGGACAATTAGACTTAGCTGTGGTGACTGTGGCGGCGTGCGTGTGGGTGTGTGTTAATTAGCCCGAACATAACATGAACATGTGTGTCTGTGTGCGTGTCCTCTCTTCAGTTTTCCACAGTGACGCAGCAGGATTTGGGGTTACGGATCACCGTCCATCTCAATTAATGTGGACCACCAACATGATGTCTATTTCTGTACACATACTAACAGAAACGGATCCATTCATGACAGTAAATACATTTCAAACATTGACAGACTGCACCAAATTAGGTCTCCTTTTATTCTTTATTCATAAAAGTAACACTTAATTTCTGAAATACAATACAATGCAACATGCACACATAAGAACCATGAATATAATGAGCATTACTGTACTCATCTGGATCATACACAAAACAGTTCCAGTATATGAACAACACAAGGATGCTGGGTCGGCACACCGACAAGATGGAGAGGACAGTGCCTCAAAATCTTTGCACACATAATGTAACATATTGCCTTACGGTTGCAGATGCTATACTCCTCCAAATCGGCCACATCATAAATGAATGATTTTAAAATTCTGTGATGTCATAACAATTTTATTGCTATTTGTTATTGTATTTATTGTGTCATTATTTAATCCCTCTGTGTTGACTAAAATACTGTATCCCAAATCGTAAAAGTAATTTCCATTTCATCACCTATTTAATTATATATATATATATATTTGGAGTGTGGGAGAAAACCGGAGTACCCGGAGAAAACCCAGGCATACCCGGGTAGAACTCCACACAGGGAGGCCAGAGCTGGAATTGCACTTGGTATCTCTACACTGTGAGGTTGACACGCTGACCACTGGTCCACCGGGCCGCCTGGCAATAATTCATTTCACATTAACAGGCAAAGCCACTATAGTTCGTGTTCTTGCACTCTCGGCTTGCAAAGAGAGATGTTAGCTCCTCTCCTCAGACACAATGTGGATTTAGGTCTGTAGCACTGAGAGAGTGAATCCAGCAGCCCTACTAGTCTCCTTAAAGCTATAGTGCAAGATGCTCCATGTTACGTTATGAGACCAGATTACGGAAGGCTCTACTGAATCCAATCCCACACTGAATGCTTAAAAGGTGGAGGGATACTGAATATCGTGTTTTATTTAAAAGATCTGTAACACGCATGCAAAATCAACTCAATCTTGTATACTGTACCTGACACTTTTAATTATTGGTAGTACAACAGTTACTCTGAATAGTGAACATTCGAGTCGGCTGAGATGATTTGTGAAGACATGCTGTTTGTGGACTTCCAAATCTAATCTTGTTCTGCATGGGAAGGACAACCTGTGGCGGGGAAAAAAGAACATTTGCTTTTGAGTACACTTGATCAGTGGAAGGAAGAGGAACAATCTTTCCAATCATTCAGAGTTGTTTGCTGCTTTTTTAAATTCATTTATTCTTTTTTGTACACATACTGAACTGGGTTTGCTGATGCATTAATAGCAAATAGTTTGAATTATATAACATTGGGGTATTATCAGGACAGCGATAATAACTCTAATGCCAACAAATAGCACTCGGCCATCTGTATTTTTAATCATTTCTTGAGTTACATGTCCACACACACACACACACACACACACACACACACACACACACACACACACACACACACACACACGAACCACAACATTATATGCCCCTGCACAATCCGACTCCATTTGAAACAAGTTGGACACAAATCTGGAGCTTGCAGTTTTAGTTTGCAGTGGTGTTTGAAACACAGTGTTCATGATGCAAACCCCAATCCCTGTGAAGTTGGGACGTTGTGTAAAATGTAAATAAAAACAGAATACAATGAATTGCAAATCCTTTTCAAAAGGTAGTCTATTGTATACACTACAAAGATAAGATTTTTCATGTTCAAACTGATGAACATGATTGTTTTTTTTTTTTATGCCAAATAATTTCTCATTTTGATTTTGTTGCCTGTAGCACATTACAAAAATGCTGGGACAGGGCCAACAAAGCACTAGGTAGTCTATTGTATACACTACAAAGATTTTTCATGTTCAAACTGATGAACATGATTGTTTTTTTTTTTTATGCCAAATCATTTCTCATTTTGATTTTGTTGCCTGTAGCACATTACAAAAATGCTGGGACAGGGCCAACAAAGCACTGGGAAAGTTGAGGAATGCTCAAAATATATACGTTTTAAAATGGGGGCACGTGTACCGCTGAGGGGACGTGAAGTCACTCCGTGGGGGCATGTAAGATTTAAAAAAATATATTTAAATAGCACCCATGCAAAAAAGAAAAGTTGAGGAATGCTCAAAATACTGTATATATGTTTTCAAATGGGGGTCCGTGTATCGCTGAGGGGACGTGAAGTCACTCCGTGGGGGCATGTAAGATTTAAAAAAATATATTTAAATAGCACCCATGCAAAAAAGAAAGAAAGAAAATAATTGTTAAATTATGTAAATATTACAGTACAAGAATTTCATAAAATTAATTTTATATTCAGCAGGCTTTTCAATTTCATTATCCAAGGATCCCAGCATCATCTGAAAACTTTCAAATAAAGTCACTAATTTATTTTTGAGAACAAATCGTTTCGATGAATACAAAGGATTTATGTTGATCATTTTTCCGTCCACAAATCTTTATTTATCCATCCATTTTCAACACGGCTCATCCCAAACAGGGTCACGGGGAGCTACTGGATCCGATCCCTGCTGACTTCGGGTGGAAGGCAGACTACACCCTGAACTAGTTCCCAGTCAGTCACAGAGCACATGTAGAGACAAACAACCATTCACACCGTCACTGAGTTGGAAACGATCCCACGCTGCCCACATCCAAGTCCGTCGTGTGTACCACTACACCATCAGCGACTATATCTTTATTGAAAACTAACTTAATTATTTCTAGTCACAGAGCACATGTAGAGACAAACGACCATTCACACCGTCACTGAGTTGGAAACGATCCCACGCTGCCCACAACCAAGTCTGTCGTGTGTACCACTACACCATCAGCAACTATATCTTTATTGAAAACTAACTTAATTATTTCTTTTAATTATGCCACTAGGGGTGTGTGTGACCTAGTTGTTTATCTATGTGTGTCCTGTGATTGGCTGGCAACCAGTTCAGGGTGTCCCCCGCCTGCTGCCTGAAGACAGCTATGATAGACTCCGGCACGCCCCGTGTCCCTTGTGAGGGTAAGATGCTCAGAAAATGGATGACCTGGTTGTGTGACCTGGTTGTTTATCTATGTGTTTGGAATAAAAGCACTTTCTGCCCATGTCACAAGATGATAGACTCCGGCACGCCCCGTGTCCCTTGTGAGGGTAAGATGCTCAGAAAATGGATGGATGCATGGTACATGTAGGTTTTGGAATAAAAGCACTTTCTGCCCATGTCACAAGAGCATGGCATTGGAGTAAAAGAGTACGAGTACCAGACTGTACCGCCAGC